AGGTTGGACGTTGGCCGCTGCATCGAGATGATGGCGGATGCGCCTGACGTCGCTGTCAAGGACGCGGAAGGCTCGGATGAGTCCCTTCATGGACCACACTGCCTCGACCTCGGTGCATTGCGTGGCCATGGAGTCCAACGCTTCACCAGGGAGGATGATCGACGTGAGTTCGAGGAACCAGTCGTCGTAGTTTTCGGCGCCGACGAGGAAGTCGGTGGAAGGCTCATAACCAGTTGGATGGGCAGGTTGCAGCAGCAGACAGGTAAGTGGAGGAAGGGAGAACCGGAAGTGAATTAATTCTGACGACAGAGGAGGAACTGGCTCTAGATGTGCCAGTTCCTCCAACAGCCAATCAAATACTAGATTATGATTGGTCACGACATCCTGTGATGTTCCATGACGAGTCTGCGCTGTCTTCTACTCTGAGGACAAGCCTCTAGAAGGCACAAAAACCTCCTACACAGCTAGCAGACACTGCTACCTGACTGACAGGGCAGTGGGGGTGTTCTCTAGAAGAACAGGGTGTTCTGACTGGATGCCGCAGACATTACCGGTACTGTACTTCCAGCACTTAGATTGCAAAGTGGATACTCCCGTATCGAATGACTGGCTACGTTCACGCAAACTCAAATCTGGATGACTTCAGATATAACGTTAGGTATGGCCCAAGATCGGGTGGTGGACTTTGTCAATTGAGTGAAAGGGGAGGGTCCTGACTCGACCCTAACTCGGCTTCCTGGTGTCGATGACAAGGACCTGAGGAAACCTGGGACTGAACCAGCGACCATCGGTGTGTTCTTGTCCTACTTAGATCAGGTGTAAAGTGATCTATAAGTAGACGCGCTCCCAACTGAGCCAAAAGAACTGGTCCATCTGGACATGAGATTGTACTACGAGAATGAGTACTCTCGACTAATTGCTTACCATTCCCACCCACCAAACCACCCAGAACGTAACGTTTGATATTCGTCCAAGGGATCAGATCACCATTCCAACCTTGGAGGGAACATGGTGGGATAAATAACGTCAGGCATCATCTTCCCAATCATTTGCACGTGCATGATTGCTTTGTGATCGATGATGTACTTCGAGGTAATCGGTACTAGTAGACATACTCCACATATCCAACAAGTTGGTTCAACACGTTTACAGGTTTTGGACGATCGATCATGTCGTGGTTTCACTCCCATTCATCATCTTCTTTGTAATTCTTTAACGTACTATAGTACAGTGTACTACAACTTTGTTGTTGACGCGAGGTCATTCCAACCCCAAACTGACGGCGCGAGTCTCCTGGATGCACAGCATGGATGGGTGAGCTGTCACCGTACTTCAACCCATTTGTCTTTCGATCGCACATTTCAATAATCCCCCCTCTCTCTCTCTACCTCCCGTCGTCACTTTGAACTCTACTTGAATATGGCCACGTGTTTTTTCCGAAGCTGCACTGCCCCCGTGGACGACTCGACACCAAACGCGTGGCGGTGCAAGTTCCATCGTGGCCGAAGTCGGTGCCTCGTCCACGACTGCGACAACCAAGCCTACGCCCGAGCGCTGTGCGTCCGCCACGGCGGCAAAATCGTGTGTCGACACCCGGAGGGGTGCCAAGCTCGAGCGCGCGTCGGCGACTTCTGTCCACGGCACGGCGCCACCCGAGCCAAGGTGTTGTGCGCCCAAGTGGGGTGCACGAACGTCACTCAACTGCGCGGACGGTGCGTCAAGCATGGCGGGGGTCGCGTGTGCAAATGGGGCGGCTGCAGCACGTTCGCCAGGCAAGGCGGGTACTGCACCCGGCACACGCGCCAGATCCACAAAACACATGCAGCCCAGGTGGCGTCCTCATTGTGTTTGGAAGCCCCGTGGACATGGGCGAAGCAAAGTCACGGGCAAGGAGGGGGGGTGGAGGGGGGGTGCTGGATCACAGAAGACGACACCAGCAGCGCCGCCGCCGACGACGATGACGACGGGCTGCTTGATTCGATTGATTGGGGGATGTACGACACTGACGAAGATGATTTTTTTTCGTCACTAAGTGGCCAAGAACAACACGTAGTACGAGATCGAGGCGACAGCTTTGACGGGGAGATTCTGTACCTGCTCCTGAATCTGTAATGTGTATGCTAACACTAGCGTACTAGTATATAATATGACAACCATGTAAGTTATACACACAAGTGCTGCCTCTTTGACGACCAGTGGGAAGAAATGACCGACTAGTCGACACTTCCACCGGGCTAAATTAGACACCGTCCAACTAGTCCTTCCTGGTAAACTGAAGCAAACAACATCCCCACAGCAAGTCTCCCCAGCAATGTCATAGCCACCAATAACTCTTACGCTATACTGGTATACTCTCTACATATTGTTACACCGACAGGAAACTGGAGCCGCCATCAGAATCACATGCCTTACACTTAGGAGAATGAATGAATGAGCCACCTAGGCCAATCAAATCACGTCCTGTGTCCAAGTGATGCCCAGGCCTTGATCAAAGGTAACGAACGTTACTGACTGATCGCATCGTCGTCAAAAGCTCAAATTTGGGTGACCTGCCCAATACTACACCAGTACTGTACTAGTATGTCCTAGTAGTACTAGTAGTCCCTAATTACTCTGTCTAGCTGAACACTAAAATCAACTGTCATCGTCCATGTACAGTAAGTACATTATGCTGTACTAGTACAGTCCAAACGATATAACATCAATCTCTCATCAACACATGCTTGGTGTGTTCTTTTGACATTAGCTCGCGTGATGATTAAGGTCCGTCTTTTCGTTCATATATGAGCACATACGACTCGGAGATGCCAATCAGCTGGGGCATCGTCTCCTGCACATGCAAATCCTGCACTTCGTACCACTGGTCCGTCGATCGGTTCTGGACATGCACGCGGTACGTCCCGTCCGCCAGCGGGTCCATGTTGACGGCGGTGGTTTCTTTGCCAATAGTCACGGGGCTGTCGTGGCAAATATTCGCGATCAAGTTGTACTTTGTCTGGGAGGCTTTGGCCACATGTTTGTGCACGTGCGCTACCAGGTCCGCCTTGTCCACAATCCCCGCAGAGGTCCCGCCGCAGTGCGACAGAAGCGCCTTCAGCTCCGTCGTCGTCATCGCGTCCACTTCGGCGGCGGTCGGCACGCGGGACGCCACGTACTCTTTTAATTCGAGGTTCTTGACGGGAAAGTTGACGATAGTTGGGTTCTTCTCCGTGAAAAAGTTGTTTTTCGTGAACCGGTGGATATGGAAGATCAAGTATGGCGGCAACGAATCGATCGAGTACTGCTTGTGTTGCCGCGTCGCCCCGTGTAACACGTGCTACTCAATCGAGATGAGATGTTCATTTAAACAATCGAGAGTGATGGGGAAAAAATAGATTTTTCCCAAAAAAAATTTTTTTTGCAATATATGTTTTTGAACACGTTTTCCAAATCAATTTGTTTCAAATTGTTTTGCCAAATATTTGACTCAAATATTTCTTTCAAATGTTTGTTCCAAATATTGTTTTTCGAATATTTTCTAAAAATATTTCTTTGTTCCATTCTTTTTTTAATTATTTTTTTAGGGCGTACCGTGATTTTGTCGCCGTCGAATTTTTCCAACACGGTGAACAACGGCACTTGAGGGATCACATTACCGCCTTGTGAGTCTTTAAACAGCGGCGTCGGCGGCAAATCCAACGTCAAATATCTACAAGTCCGGCAAATAAACATACATAGATATATATTTTTGGTGCAAGCTGCACATACAGAAAAGGCACAGCGGTGGGCACTGCCGCCGCATCGCCGTCGTGGGTCGCGGCACCGGGCGCTGGGAGTGTCGTAACATGCACCATGCCTTGGAACACCTTATGGATCACGCTCGAGCCGGGGGTTCTAGTGCCGCCAAGTCCCTATACATCACTCAAGTATTCGTACAAGCATAGCAGAAATATTATATATATATAGGCTGACGTATTATAATAAATATTGGGCATAGAGTGTTGTACCCACCCGATGCAATTCGTTGAGAAACCACGAGAGGAACTCGAGGGCGTCGCTCTGTCGGCCAATGTGAAAGCGCTTTTTACTGACCACGGAAATGGCTTGGACGATTTCATGTGGACTGATCTATTCGATCAAATACCATATAAAGATTTATATATATGTAATATTAATATATATACAAATATATATTATATTAATATATATATACATATATATATATAAGATTAATATATATTTGTCAAGAAATCGAAAATACACGAGAAATAATAGAATTGAGATCGCACCGTGTTTTTGATATTGTGGGGGCTCCATAGCTTGCGAATGAGCTCGCCAAAGCGCAGCACGAGCGGCGACCGCGTCTTGGCGACGGCGGCGGCGTAGTTGTCTGGCTGGAGGAAGTAATCGCGCAGGGGCGTGACATGGGCCAACGCCTGTAGCACCACCGAGATGTAGTCGGTCTTCTTGAGGTTGTTCAACCCGATGAACCCAGGAAGGTACGACACACCAAAGCTGTCTTGGGCCAGCGTGCGGTTCGTGTCGAGGGAGGCCGTGTACTCGGGCGTGAACGACGGCCGCAGCGCGTTCTTGATCGGCGCAAGCGACAAGTCCGTGACTTCGTAGTTGTCGGGCAAGCAATAGATCTTGTCCGTGGACAAGTTGATGAACACGTGGTGGAAACTCTGCACGGAATGCGTGAACGCGTGCGTGTTGGGCCCGCGGCCTTGAAAGTACTTGCCGCACACGAGGCACGCATACGCGTTCTGGTCCGACAGACTGATGGAGCACACCTTCTCGAAGTCAAAGTCCAGAAGCTGAGGGCGGATGGTATCTAGATACGGACACTTCTTGCGCTTGGATAATGCCTGCTGCGCGGCGGCGTCCGTCGTCACGTCCTTGCGCTTCATCGGCCAAAGGTTTGGTGTGTGGCGCAAACTAAGTTTCGCGTTAAATGCATTAACGTACGATCCGCGTTGATTTAAACGTAAATAACGTCGTTTACTGGGTTTAAACAAGTATTCTAAATTCATTTTAAAAGTATTTCACACATGGAATATCCGGAGAGTAAAACCAAATTTTCCCTTGACTTGTAGTTTTAAAACCATTTTAAACAGCGACAGGTCGTGGTTTCTAACTCGAGGGGGAAGTCGCAACAATACTGCCAAGAAGGACATTCGCCATGGAGATGGAAGACGATTCGTTGTTGCTGTTGCCGCCGGCGGAGGATGCCCCTGTCTCGCACATGCTTCAATGCAACGAGTACGGCGACAACAACAACGTGGTGGACACTGACGACGTGTCGTCCGCGAAAGGCACACGGAAGCGTGAGCGGTTGACGCTTGGGCAGAAGCGGCAAGTGGTCGACTTGGCCGCGAGCAACCAGTTCACCCATCGGGTATGCATGCCAACGCATATCGCATCCCATAATATCTCCTTCAACACTCAAGCATGGCATCGCACCCTCATGACAACTGCTTAGGAACTCGCCGAGAAGTTCCAAGTCGGGCGCACGACGATCACAAACATCTGCAAGAACACAGAGTTGATCCGGCACGAGACGGACTCGGCCGACATGGTCAAGAAGAAGCGCAAGACGACCAAGTGTACGTACGATCTCAAGGTATTGGACGAAGCGCTGCACAAGTGGCGCATGGAGTCCAAGGTAAGCAGTCCCGAGACCAAGATGACTGGCGCGGCGCTGCAAGGCAAAGCGATGCAGTTGGCGCATATGATGCTATCCGATCCACATGCGCGGCTCCCTGACAAGGTGCACGCAGCGTTGAGCAAGTTTAGCGCGTCCAACGGATGGTTGGACGGGTATCGCACGCGATTTGGGAGCTTCACATCGCGCATGTCGTCGGCCGACGTGCATCATCACACCCCACCTCCCCACAGCTCTTCTTCGTCGTCGCTGATCAAATCGGTTGATTTTCAAACGCGACAGCGTGAGCTCCACCACCTACTACAGCACGTCGACCCTCAAGACATTTGGACTGGCGCCGAGTTTGCGCTGGCATCCAAGCCACCACCGCCGCCACCACCCCTCGGCGGCGCCTCTGCTGGCCACCACGCAGACAACAACAATGGCGCGCCATCTTCCAACTCGTTGGACGGATCGACCGCCCGCCTCACCGTCACGTTGTGCGTCAACGCTGCGGGTGAGACATTTGATCTCCAAGTGATTGGCACCGATCGGAGCGCCACGTCATCCCCCATGTGCACCATGGCCAACCTGGATTTGCGGCGGCGGTACCGCATCCTATACGACGTGACCAAATCTGGCTTCCAAGTTGCGCACACGTTTATGCACGTGCTCAAGCAGCTGAATGCGCTGGCCAAAGCTCGACAGCGGACGTTCCATGTACTTCTGGACAGCGCCGTGCCGCATGTCAAGGCGGCGATGCTGCTCGACGCGCTCGGCGACCAGCGCACGTTTTTCCTGTTTGAGTCGCTGCGGTTGGTGTTTTGGCCGCCCAACTTTCCCGTCGCAACGTGCCATCCGTGCCACCTCGGGCTCATTTCCACGTTCAAAGCCAGGTTTCGATACGAAGAAGTGGACGCGCTGTTTGCCAGATGCAGAGACGGCGCGAGCTTGATGGACCCGCAGCTCCAATGGACGTTCAAGAACGTGCTCCACTGGCTGTCGGTGGCCCTGCATAGCCTCAACCCCCCCGAGATTGTGCATGCATGGGTCGCGTCGGGGGTGCTGCCGCCGTCGACGGTCGCCACGTTGCTCTCCCGGCACCCCGCAGCAACCACGACTTCGGACGCCATGCAGGAATTGCAAGCATTGCTAGCTGACATTGCCCATCAAATGCCGCCGTTCCTGCCGTGGGTGGGGCTCCATGAACCGAACGCTCAACTCTGGATCGACCTCGATGGCAAAGCACCCGTCGTGGATGTTGGCGTCGACGACACGCAGATCGTCCATAGTGTACTGCTCAAACACGGGTTTCTGGAGGTGTGTATGTCTACTATTCGTGCAATCCTCTCAAGATAATACAAATATATATATATATATATTTATAAGGAGAGGATGATGATAGGCTACTTATGATGACGGTTTCTTTCTCAACGTGTGTGTGTGTGTTGTTTTTTTTACCATTTCGGAACTGTGTTGGTATAATGATGGCGTTGATATATATATATATATATATACCTTGGATATATATATATATATATATTGTGCTTTGAGCCAAAAATATTGGATGTTTGTGCTGATATTCACCAAGCAACTTGATGGTTTGCGGTGAAATTTCGTTGTACTACGTTGTATGTAAAAATCGTGACACTAATATAATAATCACACACGAATTTCAATGTGGAACGGTGGAAGAATGAGTTTCATTGGCCCCCTTGATTCATGCTGTGGGTTTTGATTGGTCGATAATCGAGTATCTGCCGATTATGGTGCTGCTCATTCAATAGTCAGTGCAACCTACATCGCTTCTTTTTTTATTCGAGATGAGATAATGCTTTATATAATCATGGTATGATGGAGTCCTTGATATATATATATATATGTATAAATAATAAATATGCGACGTAGCTCCGGCCAGGCAATTTGGACGAAGCGGTCGAAGGTGGAGGAAGCCTGGCGATGGGAGGACCGACTCCGGCGACGTCGTCGCATGGGGCTCTGATGGAAGTGGCCCCCACGAAGGACCAAGTTTGGCACGCGATCGATCTGCTCAAGCGCCATGTGCGCGTGTCTCCTGGCTTGGACATGCAAGGCGTGGCCAGCGTCGTGGCGCTCAATGTGCTCAAAACGGCCAACACGACGGCGTTGCCGAGCCACTTGGCCAGCAACGCCTCGTACCGCCTGCATCATTCATAGTATAATAATAGTAAATGTGTACGTAATTCAAGGGTATTTCGAAGCAAATATAGAATACTCTCCCAACAACGACCTAACCAAGTTATACAGTATTACTAGTAACTACTAACAGTTACCGTAGTAGTCTGGTACTATTGTACTTTTAGGGCTGGTGCCAGCCACCCCATAAAATTATGCCATAAACCGTTTTGGTAAGTCTGCAAAAAAATCCCAAAGTCTCATATCCCATGAAAACAAGGACAAAAAAAGTAATATCTACAAAGTTGTCTGGATACCAGTTGAATTATGGAATAATTATTCTGAATTATGAAATAATTATTCTCGATAATTTCCGATTGAAGTGCAACACTTCAACGTGAACACAAACCTCCATAAAAGACCCAATTTTCAAGAAAATTGTAGCATAAGTTCTGAACTTTGGTGGCATCCAGACGCACAAAATCTCGAAAACTGGAATATTTTGGTAACTTTTGTTTGGAAAAACGGCCATTTTAATGCCGTTTTCTATGGCATCCAGCCTAAATCTATCCCAGAGTTTTGACAGAAATCTAAATCATTTGAAGCTGAGGAAGAGCCTACATAAGTACTGCCAAATAAGATGCAAAGCACAATACTATATAGTATATACTAGTATATCGTTTCGTGCGTTTGAACTGTGAATAAATCCCTCGGTGTACGTGGCTTGTCGTCAATTTCCCTATCGACATCATAAACATCACGTGAACTACAATATCTCTATATATAAAAGAATATATATACAGTATATATTCTTTTTATATACCAGTATTAATATCTCTATATATAAAAGAATATATATACAGTATATATTCTTTTTATATACCAGTGTTATGTATGGCCATCATATATATATATATATATGATGGCCATATATAACACTGGTAAGTTAGTGTACGGTCCAGTTCCCCAACAACTAGGGGCATACTAGTACTGTAGTAGTAGTACGTACAGTAGTACGCCCCATACATTCACGAGTCACGTTACTGTCTCTAATATTCCTCTGCTGCAATTGCCACGCATGGTACAAGAGTCGTGTTATGCTATGATAGGGGCCATGACAGGGAGCGTCGGCCCGTCGTCGTCGTTGCTGTGGTGTGCAGCTGCTTCTTCTTCGCGCATGACTGTAGCTTCGGCCTGCCGTTGTGTCTTGGCATACTGTATGAGGGTGCGCAGAGCTGATCCGAGCCAGTCGCGGTGGTCGGCGCTCTGCGTCTCCAAGTCGAGCGTTCGGTGGCTAAACACTACACTGAGCGACACCCGCGCCAGGTGCCGCGCCCTTCCGCCGTCGCACTTGTGGAACACGGCCGTGCTCCGTCCGTCCACGACATGTGACGCGAGCGCGAGGTCCACGGGGGCGCTGAACCCGCCTCGCTTATGTTCCCATTGCAGGGTTCCGTACGGATGACACACGAGGCGGGTGGGATGGGGGGTACCGCGCCGGCCGTACTTTGTGAGTGGGGCAAACATGTTGACGGCTTGCACGAGGTAGTACCGATGGGGTCCGCCAAACCGAAACGCGAGCTCGACAATCTTCCACCGAGCGCCGTCAATGTCGGCTCCAGGAGAAGAAGTTGGAGGATGGACAAAGGGAGAAGTAGCAGAAGCGGGGGGGGACGACGACAACGACGACGATATCATGCCAGGGGGAAGCGGGGGGTAATGGTTGGGGTGGGGGATGGACGGACGACTTGGTGGCCGTTTGTTGGACTTGTGGATGTTTAAACGACGAAGCCCCCCCGCCACAGACGACATGAGCCTAGAAAAGTGGGGGGGTTTGGTGTCTCGTAATGGAAACATCGGATGGACACGAGCGGCCGCCGCCGATGACGTGGACGACGGGGACGTAGCCGCGTCGGGGGGATGCGAATGGTTGCGATGGCGTCCAATGGATGGCTGGGAAGGTAGCTGTTGTGTGTGGTTGTGATGATTGTGATGATGGAGATGGTTAGAGGACGGGACACCGATGAGGTCGGCGGGATGCAGCGAGTGCCGCGCGCAGTCCCTTCGAAGGTCCAGAACAAGGTTCCGCACGGACGGCGTCAGTTGAAGCAACTCATTGTCGTCGTCCATGTCTTGGTTGCTGTGACCTATCAACACCTGCTCCACACTGGACACACTTGTGTCTACGTATTTGTCGAACGAACGGCTCTCGGGGGAAGACGACATGGCCTCGGATGACGTGGTGGTGGTGTCTTGAAGGGGTGGGTACTCGTCGCTGGACATGGACATCCCGAGCAAGAAGCCAATGCGATCGTCGTCGTCAGCTGTGTCTGGGGACAGAACATCGGGGCAGTCCAACATGGCTGCCAGGTCGCCAGAGTCCTGCCGCTGAATGTGCCGCACGAGATGTCGGACGCTGTCGCGGAGGTTGTCTGGATCGATGGAGATATCTTCGGGATCGTCGTTGTTGTCGAAGAACACGTCATCGACTGACGCTCGAAAGGGAGACACCGGCGGCGCCGTTGTGGTGGCACAGGCGACGGCGGCGAGTGGAAATGGCGGCGCAAACGACGTGTGCAAGAACTTGAATTCCGTGACGAGGATCGTGTCGTGTGCAGGTGGGCGCGGGCTCATGCTTTGTCGCCGCATGGCCGACGACGTCGACTGTCTCGCCATCGTGTTCGATCGCACGCGTCGGTTGCCGCCACGTGGCGAGTCCAAATCCCACGTCAGAAGGGGGGACACGGGCGTCAATGGACGTGGCGGCGTTCCACTGTTGCTGCAACGAAGTTCGTCAAAGGAATCATCAACCAGTTCTGTATAAGTGCTGTGGCCACGCAGCATTGCCGAGAGTTTGCCAAGCAGGTCCGTCCCGCCAGGCGACCCGTTGTTTCCGAAACTGCTCGAGGTAAACGTGCTGTCTCGCATGCGACTACCTCGCTTCAATGCACCACTACCACCTCGAGGGCCATACTCTTCCATCGACACCGCCGGGGTGCCGCTTCGAGAAATGAGCGCTGGATCTTGGGCCAGCACGGCAGAAACGACCCCGGGGTGGATGACGTATTGAGGAGGGTGGACATTACATACAAAATCCTTGTATATATGGGTCATGGAACCGACACATTGGGCAAAATGCTCCAAGCTAACCGATGGTCGTCGCGACGACGACGTACAGGAGGATCTGCATTCCTTTGCCTCCACTGCGCTTGAGGTGAGCCCAAATGCTCGGAAGGATATGCAAACAACAATAAATGGTACTGGGGCTGGGGGGCGACGTACCCATAGCTCACCACCTTGACGACGATGCACAGATCAAGGAGGGTTGCGTTGTACCAGACTTTGTAGTCCAGTCGGAAGAATTGTTGCCTGTTCACAGCATTCTGAAATCATTTTGGTTTCGGGCTAGCAGACACACACGCGGATACACCTGTAATTCAAAACATGGATCGTTTAAGTTGTACTACCGTATAGTGTATATGGATTGCGACAGGTGATATTTCACAACCAGCCGACACTCGTTCTCAAAATTTTGTTTATCCATTGCGTCATACAAATTTGAAGTATATTCAACATGTTCACAAGTAAATATCAGTTATTACAAGCAAATTATCAGTTATTACAGGAGTCTCAATAGATTAATCCGTCGCAATGCATATACACTATACGGTATTTCCGACGGCAGAGTATGAACCACTAAACAAAGCATCACCCAGACATGGGAAGCACCACGCACTGACGCCTCCCTGGACTGTTGGAAGCGAATGGCGTGTGTGGTCTGTGGGTAGTAAATCTGAAAAGCTGCCAACGTTGTTACCTTGGTTCACAGGCACCCTGGTAACTAACATACCCAGTATGTGGATGACGTTACAAGGTATTCCATCATATTTCCAGTTAAAATGTTGCTAGTATTTATTAAATTGAACGGTTTTCAGGCTAAAAGTTGGATGATGGTTTTAGCCATGATTTTCGCGTCGAGCCGCGTCGTTTTCGTTTACCTTTACCTGGCACTAAAAATACATACCACAGTATGCAGTGACTGACGTTAGGGCCAGCAGCAGCAAAGACAGGAATGCGACAAAGCAACGAGGCGTCCCTACTTACACTAGTACAGTATTACCTCACGACAACAATTGCGACTGTAAGTTTTACTGCGCTGTAAAGTTAAAATCACGAAATGCCCGCTGGAGGTCGCGAAAACCAGTGATTTTAACTTTACAGCGTAACGTTACCAGTAATTAATATCAATATCAGTACTGTAGCTCGAACCTCAATAGTGAAACAAGTCGACGCGTACGTGAACGTGTCCAGTAACACGTTACTACTGTAACGTTAGGTTTTCGTCTACTGTAGTTTGGAAAACGCAACGAAGAGGGGGAAACAAATGTCTTGTCCTTGGGAGAGGCGTGGCGGTAGCCCCAGAGTTCAGTGCATTTGAAACCATCTTTGTCGCCATACCAGCAACTTCGTCACCGCTGATTCGTGTATACTGTTTGTACCCGTCGGACGACCATCGCCCGAAACGTTGGACAGAGAGGTCAGAGGCTCCACCACGAAACAAAGCTGTTGCGCCACCCCTGCGAAGTGAGTGGGTGGAGTACAGACACGGGTTCAGACCGATTGAGATTGCTGATGGATTCGCACGTGATGAGCTGCAGCTTTGATGTTCAACATAACGGTTCGCTGGGCATTGCACCGATCGTTCGCGCGTGATGTTTGAGCACCCAGGCTGCTAGTGCGACTGGGCATAACCACGAGAGACCGGATTTCCCGAGGTGTAGCTGAACCCCTATTCCTTCCTTGTTGGTCTGATTTGGAGCTTCGAACTAGCACTTGGACAGTGCGAATCGCGCCATAATCGGACGTTTCACGGCCAACGTGGTCGAGGAAAGTTACGTCGCTGTACTGGAGGGTTTGATTCGTTGGCTTTCCGCTAACCGCTTGGTACTTGGAGTAAAAGAAAGAAGAAAACCAGGACCGTAGAGGCCCAGATGACTTGGTCGGGGCTTTCGTGCAATCATAGTTGACTTCGAAGGGCTTGCAGGAGAGCAATGGTGATTGGTTCTTTTGCTCGTGGTGCTGGGCTCAGACGGACCATGTCGGCGAGTTGGATGGCATGGTCCCGGGACAAGGAGATGTCGTAGCGCCAGCCACACTGGTGGTACCAGGAAATGATAGCAAGCTTCGACTTGATGGTTGATACTGAGTTGCAACTCCATGCCCCGATGACCTGATGACGAGAGGTGTGTTGCGAAGTCAATTAGTATCTGGGACTGCGAGGGCGGTGCAGAGGATAGCCATTCCGTGGAATGTTGTGAATGTTGGTAGCGGGTCCATGCTTGGTTGTAACGAGCCCACCAGGATGGGGCCAATGAGGCGCGGTGAAGATGAGAGATGACCGGTACGCGTGCCGGAGTTGTGGTGGTATTGGAGATGGTGTCCACCCTGCTGTCGCTGACTGCCAGTTGGGTCGGTATGGCTCGCGGCTGGCGCGAGACCCTGCATCGGGGTGCGTGTTGATCGCACCCGGAATGTGGGACGCCGACACGTGGAGGTGGTGGAGGGCATGGTGCAGACCTAGACAGCGGTTCAGTTCCTGACTGAAGGCGTTGTTTCTTGCGAGTGACGACGACCATGTTAACGCGCTGGTGTTGTCCGTTAAAGGCCGCATGTGGATTGTGTGTTGACGGCTAAGATACTGTAACGACAATAATATGATACTGTATATTGTCGATTTGATACAAATTTGGGGAGGGGGTGCAATCGAATCGCGCCGACCAAACCGATCCACAATCGATCTGATTGGTTAAATTTCATTTAGAAGGTTTTGATTGGCGAATAATCTTGAGTTCATCTGAAGTAGCCACTCAAATCGATTTAAATTCCAACGAGAAACCACGCCACAACACGAAATTTCACTCGAAAACACAATATAACGTTTTGCAAACTGTCGAGCTTTTCGATTACCAAGTACACAGTGGCTTGCACATTTCCAGCTGCAAAAGTTACTACAGTAGCAACTCAAAACACCTCTGGGTGAAAAGGCATGACCACAGGGTGGCCTTCTTGTTGGCTTTCACGTTCGACTTGCCACAGCACTTGTCGAACGAGCGTCTGCAACGCTGGCGGGCCGCAGAAGAACACGCCAATGGTATCATTCGGATGTTTCGCTGCAACTTGCTGCAGAATCGCATGGAAGTCAGGTCGACCCAAATCGGTGGTTTTGGGCAGCCGCAGCCCCGAGATGATGTCCACGGCCTCTTGGTCGTGGATAAGGGTTTGGGCCGTCTTGAGCACGTTCAAGTCGTCCGGGGTCGCCTTGGTGCAGTCCCCTGTCAAGTGCAGTTGGACATCGACACCATCGAGCCACGCCACGCGTTCGAGCAAGTCGCCGTGCGTGCCGAATAACGCTTGTCGGTTGGTTTGCCAATGCACATACAGTTGTTGTTGGTGTTGGGGTGTGCAGTCATGGGTCGCCACAGCTGACGTCGCTCGCTGGTGTAAGGTGGACATGTAGGGGGTGATGCCGATGCCTGCGCCAATGAGCACAGCCACCTTGTACTGACTCACTTCGACGGCGGGCGCTGGGATGGGGCCATCGATGCGAACCATCAAATGTGGGTACACAATGTCATGCAGCCGACTCGTCCAGTCACCAGAAACTTGAATCTGCACCGTCACTTCCGTGTCGTTGTGGGACGTGATGCTAAACGGATGCCACTCGAAGGGACTCACCACGGGTACTTGAAGGCGCAAGAACGTCCCCGGGAGGGCGTTGGCAAACCGCTGGGTCGTTGGAATGTGCAATGTGACAGTGTCTTGGGTCTTGGTGAAGTGCGTGACAGCGTTGCGACGTGTACAAAAGTACCTGGGCGCGACTTCCACGACCAAATAGATGGCGAGAGGGGGACCCATGATGGGAAACGCTTGGGCTTGTTCCAGCCAATGCTGCATCCCATGAGCGAATGTTATTCCAAACATAACCCCGTCACAGATGTGCCCCCACTTGTTCCAATACACAGCTTTGGACTGGCGGTACTGGAATTTGCAGTACGGGGCGACGAGGCTGCACACGAGCATGGCGACCCCCGTGAGGCCGGTTGCCGTTTGAAAGAGCACGCGGACGGCGTCTGGCTTGGGGCCGTGCGCAAAGTCCGTCACGTTGGCCAACATCGAGTCGCTCCATGTGGTTTCGCATGCCATGGGCACTCGAATCAGCACGTTGACGAGGTGCGCGATTACGTGGACGTACCCCCCCAGGTAGTACATGCATCCGTACACAATATGACACGTCACTCGGTGTTCCATGTGCAAACAACGAGCTAGCCCTGGCCACAACGTCCACAGCCAGTACTGCACACGTGTCATCACAGGCCATAGCAGCAGAAACCCGTTGAAAAGCACGACTTCGGCCGACCCCCGGGCAAAGCAAATCGCATACCCTGCCAGGTTGAACATGCCAGCGTTGTGGCGATAGCTCATAAACTTCCACATGAACGCTCCAACGGACAGTGCGGCGTAGACCACCCACCATAGGACAAAGAGGGGGGAATGGCGCCACGTGTGATGAAGAACCTGTGCCAGCATGCGCAAACGAAGAGCTATCATTGTCGATGGCTTTCGTTGAGATTGAGGTTGCGAGTCTTGAGGCATTTGGATGTAGTGGGTCGTCCCTTGAGGCAGAGCCTTGGGTGTGTGAACCGCAGTGGAGTCATGAGCAGGTTTGTGTTGCAATGTCGAGGGGACTGCGCTGGCGTGGGTGTGAGGAAACACTGGACGCGACGCGATGGCTTGTGGAATGTCGTGATGCAAGTGAATGTTGTACGCAGCCGCGGCGGCTCGAACGCGGTGCCCGAGTCGAGGGGGTCTCGGTAGCTGGTAGCCCGACGGCAATCGGATGATTCGGCGCGGCGCCCCCTGGACAACGGTTGGTACAGCTGACACGAACGTGTTGTTGGAATCGTGCATTATTGGGGTGGCGGGGCAGTTGGAATCTCTGAGTAGCATTGTCATCTTTGATCGTGGTGGGAGTAAACGATGTTGCCGGCAACGTTCGTTATCTATCCAGTGTGAAAAACGAGAATGGGGTCGTGGGGGAAGTTCTGGCTGCCTCTACACATTCGATAGATTAAGGAGTACCACACAAGTCAATTGTTGACACTGGGTGGGAACGCTACGGCCTCACGGACCAATCATACACGCCGTAATTGGCGAAACGATGACAGTAGGCGAGCTACAGCAACTCGGATCGGTACTTCAACTCATAATGGTCCACCTCTCCAAAGGACACTTTGCTGCCATGGATTTCGCAGTAGTAGAGCACGCCTGCGCCGACTTGGTCCTTGATTCCACGACGTCTTGATGCTTGACCGTGCCTTCTTGAACGGGGGGTTCTGTGATGAGGGGTACCATTACTCGAGCGACGGACTCTGGACAGGATGAATGCGCCACAGCCACAGATCCGGTCGAGAGTGGGATGAATTCAACAGCAATACCTCAACCAGATGGTGATCATCGTGTGATCATACCGGTATTAGTAGGTGTCTGAGAACGGACGTCAAGTTCAAAACGGGCAAACTACACAACCTCGTGGGTTTCAAGCATTTTGGTTGAGGTTGCCCATGGTCGACTCCCCTTTATGGAACGCGATGGTGCTCCCCCCGATCATCTATCACGGCCTTTCAGGCGGGGGCATTCACTTTTACCACGAAACGTTAGTGTACCTAGGAAGAATGAATGATTTGCAGTGGCCTGTGTTGCCGACTCAGACCACAAAGACACGAGTGTCGTTGAGTGCTGAGGTGTGCAAACTCGAACAAAGTATGGTGGTGCATTGCAGTCGCACAAATGCAGCACAATCCGGTCGCATTATTGTCGTTGTGCATTATTATTGGAAGGTATTTATCCAGAAATTAGGTCTTGTGGGATTCGAATCAACGAATCCCGGTAGATTCATACTCATACAGTACAGTACTTTCCTACATAATGGAAGCGGTTTACTACTGTACTTCGTTGGCTACTGTACAACGACGATCCAGAGTGACGTTATATAGGACATGAAGCGCGCGACCGCTGCAACAATTTACATCACAACATCAGAGGTGTTTGTTTGCATTGCCTTTCGTTCGTTCGTTCATGAAGCCTGCATCGTCGAATATTTGATTACTATAATTTGGTTAGGCAAAGGAATTGTATGTGGAATGCTAATGCCACGCGTCGCAGTCGTCAACCTGCCACTATAAGATACTAGAATCTGATTTGAAACCCCCATGGAAACATAATGTGACAAATGTGCCCATACGTAACGTTATCCATGGATTTGAACTTTCAATCGAATAATGAGAATTTTCATGGTGAGGCTAACTTACTGGAAGGATGCAAACATGCAGCCACTGATATGTAGCCCTCCTCCATCATCTTCACCCAAGCGTAAAACCACAGGCCTAACGTAAATGGCTTTACGTTTGCGCACGAGTCCGGCCCATGTAGTGTCAAGCTACTAGAACTCAGTAGAATGGGGGGGGTGTTGACACGATGAATATGTATATATATGTCGAAGCGAACATTGAAGACGAAGCATGAACACAATGTCGTCGAAAACGACGAAATGGAACAAGTCGCGCACTACCGGTATGCACCCCAAACACCTAATAATACTAGTACTAGTAACGTACTAATTTACTCAGAAAGTAGGCCAACCTGGCTGGGAATTACATGAATCACCTTACTTCGAAGTACTGTATTGTTGATCCGCACTATAATTTCCAACCACAAACTCTGGGAACTGCATCGCAGATGTATTCGTGTGGACCACACTATGCTTAGCTCCACACTAATTTTCAATTCGCTCTAATTACGGTCATCAGTGTGGCTATGAAGTTGAAGTACTTATAACAACTGTACGTTAGCTCTTTTCAATACGATCCATGAGGAAACCACTCTGTAAAAAGGCAAGTACTGTACATACTCCGAACAATCGTTGACTTCAAACTCGTTCCTCGTGTAGGCACTTGGATCATTGCCATGCATAGCTTCACCTTCCACTCGTTCACAATGGACACTCCAAGCCACGCCATCGTTTATTAAGCTGGGTGTCGATGGTGCGAGATGCTCAATGCGGTGATATAGCGAGCTGCAGTACCGCAGGCGTCGCCATAAACATGAGCCACGGACTGAGCATGTCGTCCGAATACTCATATAGTGCAGCATATGCTCGGACTTGGATGCATGATGCATCCTACTTGTAGCCTGGCGGGGAGATCATAGACGCAACCTGGACTGTATCGCACGCACTCGTTAGTTCTGGTCATTGCGACTACTTGTTGCAATTCATTCCAAAAATACCCTAATACATCCGGACATCGCAGTTTATCCGGTCACGTTGAAATGACCGACGTTGCGCCGCCTCCGCCACCGACATCGATGGCAGTTCGAAGGAAGTTCTTGATGATGGTGTCGTACTACGGTCGTGGCTACGTGGGCTGGCAACGCCAGGTACATGCTTTCTACTCATTAACCTTCCTCGTGAGGAGGAAGGTGCATGTTCGTGACTAACTTACGATGCGCCAAGGCGATCACAAGCAAGACGCCACCTGGACAACCTCAACTTGTAAGTATTCAGGATGTCGTGGAAGCGGCCGTGACGTCTCAATTCCGGCCGCATGAGCATGTCAATGTAGCGTCCGTCAGTCGCACCGACTCGGGAACAAATGCACTCCAAGTACGTCCATTGCCCATATATGCACATCCGATGCTGATATGGTTGGTGGTGGATTCCTATAGCAATATTGCACATTTGTCCTGCCCGAGGGGCACCCATGTACTTCCGAGATGCTTGTCGCGCTCAACGCGGCGTACGTCCTCCTTCATCCTCATCGACGATGCATCCATCCATCGTCCCGTCCGTCACATCCATTGATCGGTAGGCTACCAGATTCCATTCGCGCGCAATCGTTGGTGCTTCTCGACGCCGTGGACGCCCGCCGCCGCACCAAATCCACTCGAAAAAAGTACGTTTACTACATCGAGCAAGGGCCGAGACCGAATCCGTCGACGCTGCACACGGCGTGGTTCATCGGCAAGCCGCTAAATCTGGCGGCGATGCGGGAAGCGCTAGGCCTGATTACCGGCACCCACGACTTCCGAGCCTTCTCCCAGGGGCTTCAAAAGCACGAGTTCGTCGACTTGAACACCACCAGGACCCTTCTCGACTGCCACGTCGTGGTCCGACGGTACGTCTCGAACGAGTGACATGACATGATGCAGAAGTCTTCTTCGTGTAAATGAAAGGGTGGGGATGGGGCTTGTCATGGCTTGGTAGGTACCATGGTGACTAGTTGGTGTTGCGTGGCAGTTAGTCCACGAGTCGATCTCTGTTGTTAGACGAGGTGGTTGCCACTTCTTGGAGTACTAGTAAACCGAGTGTCCATATTGTATTCACAGTGGTTTTGGTGAATTATATGCACTTTGATAGACTACGCTATGTATCGTGTGTATGTGTATTTGTGTTGGCAATGCAGTGTTCTGCTTTGTTGCGTGAATGGAGGGGGGGTGGGGGTATGTGTACCGTGGGCGGTCGATTGGATGCTGAGAATGCCAAGTAGATCGGTGGACTTTTCACTCGATGTGTCCAAGGCTGGCAGCGGTGACGTCGTGTCACCAGACCCGGCGCCCGGCGGCACAGACAACTTTATCGTGTGCATCGAGATCACGGGCACGGGGTTCCTGCGGCATATGGTTCGCCGCATCGTCGGGACGTTGCGACCCATCGGCGAAGGCACGCGGCCGCCATCTTTCATGCTGGATGTGCTGCAAGGACGAGCGGAGCCTGGGCCGTCCGTGCCGTCGCGAGGGCTGTGGCTACACCAGAGCTGGATGGGCCGGCATACTAATGTGAGTCCACTAGCGACGACGGACGCCGCCGATGTCGGAGACGAGGATGACACATAAATCTACGGGGTACTGCGTTGAAGGGACATTTCAACGAGGTGACGAGGACATTTGAATCTTGTGCAACAGGCTACGTTTCATTTTGCGTCCACACAAATATTAGTACAACGTAGTACTAGTGCGATTACAGTTGTTTGCACAAGAACCGTTGCTTTGTGTGATGCTGTATTCGATGCGTGCGTCCCCTTACGGTATCATCCATCCTACCTTCCGTAGGCGCCATGGACTTGGCAATTACTACTATAATATTAATATTAATAGTATATAGTGTTAATCGACATTTGCAATGCATGGTATATCTAGGTGTACCATAGTAAGGCCGTGAACATTTCAGTGGGACGAGGGCGTGCAGACCAATATGTACATCAGCATCTTCTCATGCCCAGGAACGTGGAGGTGCTTGATGAGAGTCATAATTGCGTCCACTTCAGATATTTCGGCCTCGCATGAATGTCATTATCTAGTTCGTTCAGCCACAAGAACATTCCACGCTTAGTAGATCCAACAATCAACAACATCGCGTCGATAACCACGATGATTTGAATGCTTGCCTTCCCAAGCCCAAATGTCCATGATGCTGCGACGCTGTTCCGAGTAGACTTGTCGGTCTTTGTCAGAGAATTCCATGGAATCGCGTCGGATGGTTGGAAGGTTTGGTCGCAAGAGGAAAAGCCGACGAAAGGTTCTGGTGACTTCAACTCCGAGATTCATTCTGGGATAAACCGTTTTGCCCACCGGGTAGATAAATCATAACTATTCGATTGGTTGAATGAACGTATTTTTAGCCAATCCAAGAGGGAACAGCCACATCTACCACCAAATGTCCCTCGTCGTCAATCCAACGACGTAACGTGGAGTCAATTGCTACGTCGTCTCAATCCGTACCAAACACAATGATACCTCGCCTTCCGTCCACATAATAGACTGCATACGAAGGAAGGGGCCGCTAGCTATTTGTCCCAACTCATGCCCCCATGACATTGTCGACTGATGTAAGCAGCGCAAAGCCTACGCCAGGCGTCACAGGAGCATTCTTCGTGACATGGTGCCGCCGACCAATAAAAGTAGGATCGTGACCATGCAATTTCGAAGCTTCCTAGTTTACTTCGGCGTATCGTGCTAAATCCGCCTTGAAATTGAGCGTTAAATAGGCAAATTCTCCTATTTTAGGCGAATCTAGACCAGAAGCCTGATTTCAAGCGAAGCTGTACTAGTAGACCTCAGTCTTCTATCCGGATAAGTTTCCGGACGCCTCTTTTGACCCCCTCCCTCCTTCGACTCATTTCCGAATTTCCGTTGAACTTCTTCCATCTTCCACAATGTCCGTCCCCTTGTCCGACGTCGGTCTGTATGGTCTTGCCGTCATGGGCCAAAACTTCGCCTTGAACATGGCCGAACATGGATTCTCTGTGTCTGTGTGCAACCGCTCCCCCGACAAGGTCGACACCACCGTCCAACGCGCCAAGGACGAAGGCGGACTCCCACTTGTGGGCCACAAGGACGTGAAGGACTTTGTCCTGTCGCTGTCCCGTCCCCGTAAAATCATCATCTTGGTGCAAGCCGGCAAGCCCGTGGATGACACGATTCACGCGATCTCCCAGCACTGCGAAGAAGGCGACATCATCGTTGATGGCGGGAACGAGTGGTTCCCTAACTCGCTGCGTCGCGCCAAGGAATTGGAACCCAAGGGCATTTTGTTTGTCGGCATGGGTATCTCGGGCGGTGAAGAAGGAGCGCGCAAGGGTCCTTCCCTCATGCCAGGTGGTCCCCGCGCAGCCTTTGACGCGTTGGAACCCATTCTCATCAAGTGTGCCGCGCAAGTGGACGGCAGTCCGTGCACGACGTACCTCGGGGAAATCGGATCGGGCAACTACGTGAAAATGGTGCACAACGGCATCGAATATGGTGACATGCAATTGATTGCGGAAGCGTACGACGTGCTCAAGATTGCCGGTGGCCTGAGCAACGCTGAATTGGGCGACGTGTTCAAAGAGTGGAACTCTGGCGAATTGGAAAGCTTCCTCATTGAAATCACGGCCATCATCTTGAAGAAGAAGGACGACTTGGCCGGTGCGGACAAGGACGTGTATCTTGTCGACAAGATCCTCGACAAGACGGGCATGAAGGGCACAGGTCGCTGGGTGGTCCAAGAAGCCGCCGAGCGCTCCGTCGCCGCCCCCACGATTACGGCGTCGCTCGACGCGCGTTACCTCAGCGGGCTCAAGGAACAGCGCGTGGTCGCTTCCAAGATCTTGAACGGCCCCACCGAAATCCCTTCGGTGGACAAGCAACAACTCATCGACGACGTCCGCCAAGCGCTGTACGCGTCCAAGATCTGCTCGTACGCGCAAGGCCTCAACTTGATCCGCGAAGCCGGCGTCCAGAACGGCTGGAAGATCGACCTCGGCGAATGCGCGCGCATCTGGAAGGGCGGGTGCATCATCCGCGCGGCGTTCCTCGACCGCATCAAGTCGGCGTACGTCAAGGACCCGTCCCTCAACTCGTTGCTGATCGACGCGGACTTTGCGAACGAACTGAACGCGCGCCACTTCTCGTGGCGCCGTGTCGTGTCGTTGGCCGTCGCCAGCGGCATCCCCACGCCGTCGTTCTCTGGCTCGTTGAACTACTTTGACATGTACCGCCGCGCGTCGCTGCCGGCCAACTTGACCCAAGCGCAGCGCGACTTTTTCGGCGGACACAGCTATGAGCGGACAGACCGCGAAGGCAACTTCCACTGCGAATGGACCAACGCCCACCACAGCATTGGCAACGTTGCCGAACGCAACCGTGGCAACCTTTAAGTAGCTGTGACAATGGCATGGCGTGCATGATAACTTGCAAAGTCGTTTTTTATTGTCGATAGTAGTGTACGATGGTACTTGGGACTGAGGACAGGTAGCAAAACAATGCCGATGATAGATCACACGACGGCGTAGATAGATAGCGTCGTCGTCGATGGCGCGCTGGGCTTCCTTATGCACATGCCCTTGTGAAATGCTTATGGGCTAACAGAGAGCTTATAACGTTAGTGTTAACGAGCGTTCGGTCATGTGCATTTACCGTCGAGTGAACGGTAATGCTGTATTATTGTCAAGTCGATTCCAAATTGGATTCGCCAAATTTATCGACCGATTATTTGTACTGACTTTTGTATGTAAGAAGTCACACTAGTTCCAGTCACACACTAATTCAATGTTGAGTTGGTCGAAGAGTGGATTTGATTGGCCACTTGATTCAGGTTTTGGGTTTTGATTGGTCGATCGATTGGCCGCCGAGTTTGGCCAAATTTTGGGTAAAAGGCCATCGGAAGGTGGCTTTACAGCATATCCGCATATTTATCCGGACTGTCGAGGCAAAAGTGTCATTGACAGTGATATGCTGCCAGATTCGAAAACCATGCGCGCCGCCTCCGCCATCACATCCATTGCCCTTGTAGTGTCTGTGCTGCTTCCATGTGCACAAGTACATCTGTCCACTAGCAGAACTCTCGTCCTAAGCACGTTGCACGTCTCGTGTACGTAGGTGTTAGCTGACGAAGTGTCGACGACAGCGCCTGTCGTGCAGTGGTATGCGCCGTTCCTAAGTGGCGGTGGGTACTGCTCGGAAGCCATTTCGTTTGTCGGTGCCGTGGACAACGTCAAGTCGCCTCTATTTTCGCTGCGGATCACCCAACATGGCGATTCCGTCAACCCATCGTTCTCGACGACGCTGCCTACGGACATCCAAGCGCTGTTCCGGTCGCACTGGTTCACGTCCCCGAGTGCAACGCCTCCAACCATCGCCATCTGTCACTCCGAGCCCGGAGCGTGGAATCCTCCTCGATACCAGACGTCGTTGTGTCCCCCTCAAGGTAGCATGACGTCGTCCTAATGCTCCTACGATGTAGCAACTGATGCCTAGGCACCGAGTACGCGATCGGCCGCACGATGTTTGAGACCGATCGGTTGCCGTCTGGTTGGGCTCAGCGCATGGACGACATCATGGACGAAATCTGGGTACCCACCATGTACGTATGATGCACTCATCGTGACATACATTTTGGCCATCACCGTGACATATCATGTTTGGATATAGCTGACATATCATGTCTGTAGGTTTGCCAAGTCGATCTTTGAGGCTGCCGGCGTGCCCCCAAACAAAGTGGTCGTGGTCCCAGAAGCCATCGACGTCGAGTTTTTCGATCCAGATACCGCGACGCCGCTTCCAAGTAAGACAACAACTACCCTGTCGCATGGATCCAATGATAGGTCATCATGACGTGTTTGTAGTTGACGGCATCACAGAGGCCACGACGGTGTTCTTGTCCATTTTCAAGTACGATCGAGTGTCTATTGTAGTCGTGATGTCCCAATGAAGCTACATACCTTGGCTTGCTTGGACGGATATACTAGGATCGATCACAAGAATGGCGTTATCTGTGATGAAGTGATAACGTCATGATTACCTGACATGGTTTTTAGTGGGTGATATGACGGTGTGTGTATATGTAGGTGGGAAGAGCGAAAAGGATGGAAATCGTTGCTCAAGGCGTACTTGGCGGCGTTCTCGAGGGCCGACGACGACGTGGTGCTGGTGTTGCTTACGAACGCGTACCACAGTTCCAGTGACTTTGCCGTACGATGACATTCCCATGTTGACATGTCATCATGACATCTCCATATGAACATATACGGCGTAGAGTCTCGTGGAGCGGTTCGCGTTGGATACGACCGAAGGACGGTCGATGGACGAGTTGCCGCGCATTCACATCCTGCCGCCCAATCTGCCCCAAGTACGAACATGCTGTTCGGAGTCTTCTTGGATTCCCACAATGTTGCATTAGGACCAGCTTCCGGCGTTGTACAAGGCGGCGACGGCGTTTGTCCTGCCATCTCGCGGGGAAGGATGGGGTCGACCGCATGTGGAAGCAATGGCGATGGCGCTGCCGATCATCGCGACGTTCTGGAGTGGACCTACCGAGTACATGACACTAGAAAACTCCTACCCACTTGACATTGAAGGCTTGGTTCCGGTATGTACCCCCGCTTTGTGTCGCATATGTGACGTCAATGTGTGTACAGGTGGAATCGGGGGCGTTCCAAGGGCATCTATGGGCTGAACCGTCAGTTCCTCATCTTAAAGCGCTGATGCGGCATGTCGTACTGCATCCTGAGGTACCGGGTTCAACAAATATACCACACGCAACGCTGCTGTGGTGCGTAGGAGGCGAGGACGAAAGGACAACGGGCAAGACAAGACATGATTCGGCGTTATGCGCCGTCCGTCGTCGGGGCTATGGTCGTGGAGGCCATCGCAGATGTGTTGGCTTCCCTAGATGCACGCTTCGACGAGTTGTAGTCGCTTGATCGATGCGGTTTCAAAATAGTATCGAAAACGCATCGTCCAATCAAAATTCTACTTTTGACAAGGTATTTGAGTGGCAGTTACCCTATTTTAATATTATATTAATATATGGAGCTATTTCGGTCAAGAACATTTATTAATAAGATGTAGGGTATTTCAATACTCCCTAATTAGATAAAACCATGGCAAGAAATGTTCCCTTAACTAAATACCTTTCGGCGTCGACGTGCTTTGTTCGAAAAACGCCATGGCGCCATCGACCAAGACCTCGACGCGGTCATCGTTGCCGCGCCCTGCGCTGGATGCGAAGAAGTTCAATCGGCGTCTGACGCTTCAGTGCGGGCGACAGGTCAGTTATGCCGAAGTTGGCGACCCGCGCGGTTTTCCAGTGATATGTCTGCTCGGTATGCGAGGCCATCGCTTCCACAGCTGCTTGTACAACAATCTCGCGTTCAATCATGGGATCCGTCTCTTCTGCATCGATCGACCAGGTTACGGCCTCTCGGACAACGTTGCCCCGTCGAACATTCCCCATCCGATTGCGTTCGTGTACATTGTCGAGCAGTTCTTGACGATGCTCCACATTGGGCGGTTTGGACTCATGGCGCAGTCCGCCGGGTGCATCTACGCGTTGGCGATCACAGCGCAGGAATCGTTCGTGTCTAGATTGATTCAACCGGTGATGCTCATCGCGCCTTGGGTGGGCATTCAGAATCCAGGGACGTTGCCGCTGTTGAAGGTCGCCGCGTATTGCCCGACCATCCTGCTCTCCGCGGGCATCAAACTCATAGACGTGTCGAACGACTTGACGTCGATGAGTGCCAAACCAAACTACATTCTCGCGCCACTGGGCTCGCGACACGCGACGCCTTCCGAGGACGAGTACCCCCGTCCTTCTCACGCGGACATCTCGGACGCGATACCTTTCCACGACTTCCAGCAGCGGATTCAAAGTGAGCCCAACAACGTGCTTCAAGATGCAATCTTGTGTCTTGGGAAGAGCCCCGCAGGGTTTGGTTTTGATATGCCTCAACTGCATCACGCCAAGATTCGGGTATTCCACGGCGACCGCGACGCCCTCGTGCCGCTGAAAGCCGCCGAAGAATTCGTGTCCGAGCTCCCTCATGCGCAGCTACAGGTCGTAGAACAAGGGACCCATGCGATACTGTTTGATGAAACGCTCATGGACTTTGTGTTTGCCGCTTTGGGGGCTGCTGCCAAAGCTTCCGTGCACCAACCGGGCCGAAATTGCATAACTTAACGCATTCCAAATATAGTTCCATACATTAGCTTCTGTTTATCCTGCTGCAATACTTTCGACTTTGCCATTCGCAGGGAATGAACTAACAGTAAGTGTTCTATAATTTGCGATTCGATTCTTTGTTCGTTTTTTATTTACTTACAGTCAGTATCAAAATGATCTGCTCCTGATTTTATGTTTTATTATATTCGTCCATCAAACTATCAAGGGAAAAAATGACTTGAAAAAACATCTCCCCGTCCGGGAATTGAACCCGGGTCACCCGCGTGACAGGCAGGTATACTGACCACTATACTAACGAGGATCTTATATTTCTGTGTTATTTTTAATGTATTTATGTAGCTGCTGAATTTTATTGTATAAATCAAGCGATTTGGTTGGCACAAAATTGTAGTACTAGGTAGCGCGTTTTCGGCACGAAAGCCATGGATCTGCCAGGGAAGCTGCCGATGAACCGTCATGTGGTGCACGTGTCGTCGTGGAAGCATCCAAAGAGTCCAGGCATGGACATCGTCCAGACGCATCCTCTGAATCAGCAGCTGGAAGTGTTCTTGCCCACCGCAACGCCCTCTTCCGTCGGCAGTCTCTCTCGCCAAGGCTCATTCTTCTACGCGCTTCGGTTGTGTCCGCGCGAGTTGGTCGAGGAATGCCTCACCCACCCGGATACATGTTACTACGCCATCCTCAAGAATGCGCCGCAGGATGGCGCGAATACCATGACCCTCTTTCCCAGCGGTAAGCATCAACTTGATTAGTCCCTTAGTATGGCACTGACGGTGCTGTTCTCCCCAGGCGACCTCGTCCTGTCACTGGACCATGACACGTACACACAATTCGGTCTCGTCGGGCATCCAAGCGCACTTCCTCCTGGTCTCAAGTCCATCAAAAAGTCTGCCCACGGCAACATGCATGTCATCGCGATCTCGATCAATGGTCTTCAGTCCGACTCCCCATTCAAAGCACGCGTCTTCGCATGTTTAGATCGGTTTGGTCCAGTCGACTTGCTCGTGTGTGCTACGAACTCGAATGGACATGCGCAAACCGTATCCATTACGCACGACGCTGCCCAACGGCGGCGACTGGAACTCAGCGCCACTGTGCATTCGTTTGAAAGCATCGTGCTCCCCGATGCCCTGTCATCTTCGCCCCCAAAGGCTGGCAAGGGTGGCTCCACTGCCGACCAAAAAGACCATATTCAAGACGTGCACGAATGGCTGGGGCTGATGTGCTGTCGCCTCGATGGCCTTTTGCAGGGAAGCAGTCCAGACGAATACGCGTCCAGCTACATCGTTCCCGGCGTCGACGAACCGACGACTGCGGAAAGGCACCGCGCGACTAGCGTGCGATGGAGAGGTCTGATCCCGGAATCGTTTTGTGCCACTGCGTTGGAGTACGCCAAGTCCCAAGTGGCCGACAAGGCGGTGCCGTGGGCGGCAGTGATCGTATGGGGGTTTCCTGATACATTGGCGTCGTGGTTTGATAAGGGCAAGCGGCGAGACCATGGCTTCCAAATGGAAGGCACCAATGGGTACACAATCCTTTGCCTACCAGAGAATCAATACTGGGTCATCCAGTCCATTGGCGCACAGGATGCCGCCGTTTAATGCTGTTGAAGATGATACGTGTGTACTATACAGGTCGTTCGTTGCTTCAGTATTGTAAGGGCGACTGGTTGCGTTTGTGTTCAATGCAGTATACCGTGAAGGGTGTAGTACATATAGTGCAGAATGTGAACAGAATGGTATGTAGTACAGCTGTACGCACGCAATTCCCGTGTTTGGCACTTGATCATTGAAAACCAAATCCAAGGGAGAAATGAAGATATTGTCATTGACGGAGAATCAGGAACTATGTGCGACACGCCTCGACTTTGTACTGTACGAGGAGGCGACGGCAGCTAGCACAATGGGTATCGAATCCCGCGATACCCTCACACATGATGGTGCGATGCCACGTTGTAAAGTGGTGATGCATCGTGTTCGTAAGCAGACATGGTTCCTTGCTGTACTCGTAGCGCAAGTCCACTGTGAGTTGTACTACCTGGTAACTGCCGTTTGAAACGGTCAACCTCCGTATACAAATATATCCGAGGGAGTATGTAAACTCAGAGGTTTCAGCCCACCAATCCAAACCTGGGGCTGGCATGGCGTCAGGCAGGGGTTGTGACTCTCTCTTCGAAAATATGAGAGTTCTCAAATTTGCATACAAAATAGTCGTTACATGCATTCAGCCTCTCCCGAATTCGACATTTCTGCTCAATATGAGAGAGAGTCTCGAAGATCATCACTTTCCAAGGGATCTATCTGCTTGTTGTTCCTCCACGTGGCCAATTGTCGTTTTGGCCACACACTTCAAGCACAACCATGCGCGTGACCTCGATTCTTGTGGCTCTCGCCGCCGCCGTAGCAATGGCGTCGGCCAATGACGTCGCCACCAACACAGACGCCTCGGCGGTCGGCAGCGACGGGGCGGCATTGACCCAACTGGCGGCAGAGATTGAGAGTTTGAAGTCGGCGAATGAAGAATTGGACGCCAAGTACAAACAGGAGCGAGAGCAAGTGGCAGCCCTGCTGAATGTCGTCGACGAACTCAAGGTGTCGTCAGCAGACATGGGCACCAAGCACGACCAAGTGGTTGCGCTGGAAGAAGATTTGGAAGCGCTGCGGAAAGCATCCCAGAAGGCTGAGCGCACGTTTAAGGAGAACACAGCCAACTTGGAAAAGAGCCTCAAGACCATCAGTGCGGCCGCGAGGGAAGCGGAGGAAAGCCGCCAGGCCGACAAAGTGCAGGCCACGGCCACGCTCAAGTCGGTGGAAGGGGTGGTGACGTCGCTCACGACGCAGTTGAACGACGTGAACCTGGAAGTCGCGGGGTTAAAGAAACGCAACTCGGAGCTCGAGGCGCAACTGGGCAACGTGCATGCGGACACGTCGGCGACGACGGAGCAATTGGTGGCGTTGAAGGACACGTTGCAGGCGAAAGCGACGTCGTTGGCGACCGAGAACAAGGATTTGAAGGACAAAGTAGCCGAATTGGAGCTCCAAGTTGCCGCCGACCAAGTCGACATTTCCAAGCTGGAGGCCGAAGTCAAGGCCACCAAAACCAAACTGGGTCAAATCGCGACGTTGCAAACCCAACTCAAGAATGCCAAGCAGAAAATCGTCGACCTGGAAGAGGACGTGAAGAAGGCGGACGCGGCCATCAACTGGCAAGCGGTGTTCTCGACGTACTACGACCACGTCGCCAACACGTTGGAGCACTCGGACGATTACGTGGCGCTGGCCAAGTCGAAGTCTATTGAGATCTACGACAACCACGTCCATCCCATCACGCTGGAAGCCCTCAAGCATGCGTCGACGTTGTCCACGTCCGCGCACGCATTGTACAAGCAGCATGCCGCCCAACACGTGGACCCAGTCGTGGCCCAAGTGGTTCTGGCGGCCGCGCCGCACTACGCCGCCCATGCCCCCGCCTTGCAGGAACAATACTCGAAGTTTGTGGAAAGCGCGCGACGTGTGCTCAACACGGCCGACCAACGCTTCCGCATGACGCGCAAGTGGTGCATTGGCCGACTGAAGAAACTCTACCCCCGCATTGCCAAGTACGCGCGTCAAATTGTGGACTTTACCATCTTCTTGTTGGCCCTTCCCTTGGCGTTTGCCGCGTACCGCGTGGTCGTTGAGGTGATCTCGTGGACGTTGTACCTTGCGACCTGCTGCTGCTGTTTTGGCCTCTTTGGCCGCAAAGCTGTCAAGCACAACACAGCCCAACCCGTGAGCGCCCCGCCTGCTGCTACTGTCGCCAAACCCACCACCCCTTCGGTATCCTCCTCGAAGAAGGGAAAGAAAGGTGATGCCGCGAAAAAGAACCAATAGGAAGATCGTAACGGTCGATTGGGGTTGGTCGAATTATAGATTTTACTGTCCAATGGAAGACGTCAAAAACTTGTCCCATGTGTTCGATTCGCTGAAATATATTGAATAGTATTACTAATAAGGTACAAGAAACAGGACCATACTTTTTCTCCTACTTCTTTTTAGTAACTATTAATAGTACTACTACCGTACTCTCCACATTGACCACAACGATGCTCAAGCATTACCTGAACGAAGCGAAGCTCAAGCTTAAGGACGAGGCATATGAAGATGCGCTGGATGCCAGCTCCAAAGCGTTGGATTTGGACGGCATGAACTTTCAGGCTCTTATGGTCAAGGGCAAGTGCCTCGTCCACTTGCAGAACGTACGCTCGCATCCCATCACGACAACGTTCACCTTTGAAGTTTTCGTCCTCCACTTAGGCAACATTGGCTGAAACCACGTATCGTCGCGCCGTCGAACTTCAGCCTGAGATGCCACTTGTGTGGAAGGTACATGTATACTCTCGTCCACGCTTGGTCGTATTTCACATGCATGTCTGAGTGTAGGGACTGCTGGAAGTGTATGAGATGACAAATGCTCATGCAAAAGCGATCGAACCATTGGAAAAATTGTCTGCGATCTTGATCAAGTCCGATCCAATTGCTCCTTCCTTTGTCATTTCTCATCTCGACTATACAGGAACGAAAAGTGGGATCGATGTCAAAAGGTCGTCTCCGACCTTGCCACGACCGCCACAGCCGCGTCACTCGTCCCTAAAGTACTCGTATTGCATGATACATGTTCCTGATATCCCCCCTTAGGCTCTGAATGCATGGCATCCACTCGTGGTGTCCGTGGCCGACAAACCCGCGCTCTTCCTCGGCGCGTTTCCCAATGCAGACGTCCCGTCCGAAATTCAAATTTGGATTTCCGTGTTACACTTGGTCCAAGTATGGAAGTTTCGCGCGCAAACTTTTTCGACATATTTTTGTCCTCATTTTAGAATTTGCTAACTCGTAGACGCATCGCACGGTCGGGCCTTTCCACAGTGTCGACATCATCTTGGACAACATTGTGCGGTTGGTCCCGTCCTTGTCTTGGGCCGACGAAGATATCCAACAAGATGAAGACGCTGCGAAGAACATGCCGTGGGCTCCCCCTTCCGCGGCGGCGAGCCTGCGCTCTGATGTTGCGGCCGCCATTGACATCGCTGTGGACAATGCGTGGAGAAAGGTGAAGCAAGCCCCATGTGATGCCAAACCAGCCGCGCGACAAGCGTTGGACGCGCTGGCCGCACACTTGACCCGTGCGTGTCCGCGCGCCAAACGCGCGGCGGAAGTGCGCCTGCTTCGAATCGAAGATAACGATTCCGGTACCATTAATATTTATGTTTTTGTTGTTACTATTTATTTCCACCCTGAAATATAATACATCCTTCTATGTTGTATCCACATAAACAATGTTGTGTATATGTCACTATGTGTTGTGTCTGTTATTTTGGGGGAATTGCGGGCAGATTGAATATGAACGGGGTTGTGTAGAAGTGCTGTCTCCTGCCGAAGAGGAGCAATGTCTGGCGGTGCTCAAATCAACTGCGTCGAGCACGACGAGTCCATTGGTGCACCTCTATCGTGGTCTGGACCAAGCGAACGCTGGACAGTTCCCCGAGGTAGTCGATTCCAGTGGAGTTGTTCGTGTTTTTGGTTACATCACTTGTTATGGTCCACATAGGCGGTTGCGAGCATCCTGCAAGGAGTCGCAAGTATCCCAGAACACATTCAAGCTCGAGTCGTGGTAGCGATGCTGTCGCTCGAGTCCGCCACATTCGATCCCCAGCGCTGTCTCGACATGATCCGCGCGGCTCAAGATGCGGTGCAATGTCGCTTCGACACTCTCGGCACATCCCCTCGATCGTACGTGACATGAGTACAATGACATTGCTGCCGAAATAATTGTCAAATTCTTTCTCATTTGCTGCATAATATCCTGCCGAGCCTTGGTGGTGACGAGTGATGCGAGTGAAGATTCAACGTTGGACCTGTCATTTTACAGTGTTTGGTTCCCTGTACGAGCTTTGATGTGTGATGTGTCCTAGGTATTCGGACACGGCGATGAATCTCCTGCAAGCGAGGGCGCTGATTGCCCAACACAACTGGGCCAATGCCATCATGGTGTACGAAGGCATCATCGAGCACGAACCGTTCCTTCCGGACGCAGTGATTGGTCTCACGGAAGCGCATCTTCACCAAAGCAATCTTGATGACGCCGCGTCCACGATGCAGTTCCTTCCGTACGTTCCTGGAGAGTTGTAGTGGACTCCCCTTGTCGGTGTTGTTGTGGTGTATTTTGATTGATATGTGACTCCAAAAATGTATCCTGCATATATGGTGACGACGGCAAGATATGTACTTGATATTTCCTACACATATCGAACGTCGTCGACTCGATTATTCCAGTTGAAAACAATGTATCGTTTTCTTTATGTATGTGTGTGTGCTACTGTATGTATGCTAACATCCGATTGTTGCTCTTATGTAGACCACAAGAATCTGCGGCGTATTGCGCCGCCAAGGGATGGCTGGCGTACCACCAAGGGGACTTGGCCGCGGCCCAAGCGATTTTGGAAGCTGGACTGGCATATCCTGACGTGACGTGGGCGCTCAAGTACCGCCTGGCGCGGGTGTATTGGGACTTGGGTGGCGACTTTCAAACGAACAAGGCGTTCTGCGTGGCCCAACTGGTCGGCGCGGCGAAACTCAACCCCCACGAGGCGGTGATCTTTCGGTGGCTGGGTACGTACTACCTCGATGTGGCGGCCGACCCTGTTCGAGCGGAGAAGTGTTTTCTCAAAGCGTTATCGCTGGACCCGTCGTGCCAAGTTTGTGGTCTCGCTTTGACCGACTCGTTGTACGCGACCAACTATGAGCGCGCCGTGCAGCTGTGGACAGACATGGCTGCGACGCCCGTCCACGCGCCGTGGGCGCTGCTTCGACTGGCGCAGCACGATGTCACACATGGCAACGAAACCGCCATCGCCCATCTGCACAAACTGCTGCGCCACGACCCGCACAATGCGTCGTTGTGGGCCGCGCTCGGCCACGTGTACCAAGTGTTTGGACGCATTGTGGCCGCGCAAAAGTCGTACGCCAAGTCGTTGTCGTTGGTCGGGAGCCCAGATGATGCAACAAATCTCCCCAGTACTAGTGTGCTGTGTGAACTGGCGCGCATCGAGCTGTCGTTGGGGTTGCTGGACGAAGCATTGGCCCATTTAACCACGGCCGTGGAAGCAGGCGTGACGACGACCTCGAATGACCAGACCAACGTGGGCGCGGCGGTGCACAAGCTGCTCGCCGAAACTCTGTTTACACAGGCAAAAACGTTGTGTGCACAGGGTTTGTATGGCCGCAGCCACGACAAGTTGAAGCAGGCGTCGACGGTCCTCTGCACGTACTTGGATCAAACCTCCCAAAGCGACGATGACGACAACGATGCCACCACTAGCCTGTACAAGTTGGTGGGGGACATCCACCTGTTTGCGTTCTACTTGCCTGTGGACGACACGTGGCTGTCGTTTTTGCAACAAGGCACGGACGCGTACCTGAAAGCGTTGTCGGCGCAACTCCACGACGCCATGGCGTTGTTCGATGTGGGCGTGGGCTACTGGGTCCAAGCCCAAGCGCGGGCTTATCTTCAAAATGTGCCCATGGCCAAATGGAGCTTGCAGCACCAACCGGCGTACCCGCCCGAGACTTTGTCGCCCGTGACGACGGCGCGGTCGTACTTAACGCAGTCGTTGCAAGCGAATCCCAACGACGCCAACGTGTGGAATGCGCTGGGCGCGGTGCACGACCACATCGTGCTCAAGCAGTTTGCATTTGTCCGAGCGATCGAGTTGGAGAATTTGGATGCGGCATGGGCCAACCTTGGCATGCTCTACCTCCAGTCGGGCCATCTCGGTAAGTTCGTTCGTTCGTTCGCTCGTCACTGTATATAGTGTTGCTGTATTGCATGTCGTGGGAATTCTACCCCTTTTTTCACCAAGTCGAACGTGTACTGGGGAGACAATGTGTGTTTATTTTAGGGTGGTTGTAAACTGACTGTTCCTCGCCTAAACTAGTGTGTTGATGTATTGTGGATTCCGTACGAATTTCCATACCTCGTCGAATCGAATGATCTCGCCGCCGAATCGAAACACGAACTATCGCCGCTATTGGCTAATCCAATTTTGAGTGGATTTGATTGGCTCTTACAGAAAAGACAAGTATATTCAACCAATCACAACTCCAGCGTGATTCAATGTTGATAAGACAAACCACGCGAATTTTGCAAGTTTATAGCGAATTCACAATATCGAGTTATTTGACTGTATTGGACATAGCTCTGGCGCAAAAGGCATTTTTGAGTCTCCAAGGCGTCAACCCCAACCACCCAGCCATGTGGCTCGGGAATGGACTGATGGAGTGCCAAAACCAAGATCCCGCGCAAGCCCACGCTGCGTTTACTTGTGCGATGGAGCTGCGCCTGGATTTGGACATTTTGCACGGGTTTGCCTACACGGCGCTGTTGAGTCGGACGGGGTCGCTGGACCAGGCGTTGTTTGCCCTGAAAAAGTACAACGAGCGCGATGCCCGGCATCCTGCAGCCATCAACAGCTTGGGCGTGGTACGTCAACTTGCATGATCACGAGTCCATATTAAACGATGCAGCACGGCGAGTCTTTTTTGTTTGCTTGCTGACGTGTGGACAATCATGTAGGCGTTGATGCGCACGGGACTGTTCCAACAAGCAGTCGCCGCGTTTCAATCGGCGTTGGAGTTGGTGAAAAATGACGTTTTGTTCGTGGCGGGGGTGACTCGCAATCTCGTGCAAGCGTTGATTCACGTCAAGCAATTCGATCTCGCCGACACGGCCTTGCATGCCCTTGATAAGTCGTCGCCCCAAGTGTCGTTGCTGAAAGCGACGGTTTGTAGCATGACACAGTTGGATGCAGGAGGCGTGACGACATTTGTAGGTGCTCGTGGGTCGAGGGGGGCATGACAAGGAAGCGCTGGCTGCGTTGGACCAAGCTGTGAAAGACCTGCCCGCTTCGTTGACGGACAGTGGCGTTGTGCATGTTCATTTGACACGGAGTGTGTTGCTGCATCAGTTGGGCCACGTGGACGCCAGTCGTGAGTCGTTGCAAGCCTTGTTGCTGACACACCCGGGCAAGTCGGACGCGATCTTGACCGTCATGTTGACGTTGGGCGGTGCATCGATGTGGTGGAGTCCATCGGAAGCAACGATGACTCAAGCGTTGTGTGGACCGTTGGTGGCGCTGTATCAAAAGCTCAACTTGGGTGCAGAATGCAAGCGCATTTGCGACTTCTGGACGACTACGTTCCCCAAGGATCCGAATGGATGGCTGGCGTTGGCCCAGTCGAGCTTGCACTTTGGTAAACTCGTAGGTCCCCTCAGTTGCTCACCCACGTCGTCGGTACCATCGTCCGTGTTGCCCTACGACGCAACCCTGCTCCGATACCAGATCGAGTCGGTCGAGCAATTGTTTGGGTCATGGCATGCGTCCGATGCCGCCGTCCGCAAGTGGCTTCACTTGCACCCGGTGGATTCATTGGCCCCTCTTCTCGTGGCCATGGCGCTTCTGAAGCGCCTCGCCATCGCGCCAACCGACGAATCGTTGCTCCATCAAGCCAAGACGTGGCTGGAGTCGTATGCCAGCAACGCCACTTCTTCCACTCCGTATACCACGTGGTTGTGGCATGTCCTCAACAGCTACTTGTATGCCGATATGGACAACGCCAAGGCAACGTTCCATGCGGTGGATGCCACGACACTCGTCACGACGGACTTGTCTGCGCATGTCCCAGTGCTGCTGTATCAAGCGCGCAGCGTTGTCTACACGGACCCCGACGCTGCGATTGCGTTGTACTTGGCTTATTTGAAGCAAGAAAAAGGTGCCAAGGCCGTCAAAGTCGAACTGGCGGTGCTGTTGGAAGCGCAGGGGTATATCAAGAGCGCGTGGCGGCTGTGGAAAGACGTGGACGATGGCGAAACCAACGAGTGGAAGGGACTCGTCGCGGTGAAACGCGCGTTTTTGCAACGCGAAAACCCCAAGCTGGCGGCCAAGTGCTTGCGGGACTTGGGGCCTTTCAACGTGTCCGATGCGTTTGTCCAGGCGTTCAAGGCCGAGTTTGATCTTGCGTAGATCGGTGGACCCACGACTGGATATCCCATGAAACAGGGAACGATTACTTACAGTATCGGGGTACACACGCGTGCTGTAAACTCTACCAAACGACATGGAAAATGCAACACAATCTGTTCCCAGTATGATGTGTTGAAAACAACATTTGGACTGCATTTATTGTGGATCCGTCGAATCGAATCATGAATAATCGACGGTATTGGGTAATCCAATTTTGAGTGGATTTGATTGGCTCTTACAGAACGGACAAGTAAAATTATCCAATCAGAATTCCAGTGTGATTCCATACTGATTAGACAAACGGCGCGTAGTTTGGATGTTTATAACGTTAACGCACAATATTACATGACCACACTACCGACGACTTTAAACTGCATGGAACCAGCTCGGGTTTATCATGCATCGTCATCATCGTCATCGTCATCGTCGTCATCCATGTCCGCATGAACGTCGTCGGCGCTGCCGCGGAAGGCTATGACAATGGCGCGATTCTCCTGGTCCACAATGCTGCGAATCCGTTGGTCAAAGTCTCTTTTGATCTTGTTGGCGAGTGCAGCATCGTCCGTCAACGCGTTCGTGTCACGCACTCCACCGTTCTGAATGTCCCGATGGTCGTTGATAACGTCATACTCCACGCCGTTGTCGTCACCAATGTCGTCACCGACGTCCCATTGGTCGTAGTTACCAAAGTCGTATTGGTCGAATTCGTCGTCATCACCGATGTCGTCATCATTCGAGTGTGAGTCATCCAAGTCATCAGCGTAATCTTGGTCGGAATAGTACGAGTCGACGGGGGGTGGAGGAAGCGGCGGCGGCGCCATCACGGGCATCAATGCCTTGGCGGCTTTCTTCAACTTCTTCCTGGCCAAACCCGCCTTTGCTTTGGCTTTCTTCTTGAACTGGGCCAGGATCTTCTTGTCCAATGCTTCCTTTGTCAGTGCATCCTTGTCGTACTTGCCGGCGTTCTGCGCCTCGCGGCGGATGGAGGCAAAGTCGCTCTCGCCGTCGCCGTCGAGATCGTCCTCTTCGTTCACAGCAGCAGAGCCTTCGCAACGAGCGATCACGCGCATGAACCTGCTGTTGCGACATCCGCGCTTCGTCACTCGCGCTAACAAGTCCCGACACGGCGTCACGGAACACCATCGTGTGGACAATGGGATGTTGCGCGCTTGGCAGGCCCCGCCATACCGTTGGAGGAGGCTCAACGTCTCGTCGCCGCATCGACTCGCATGATTCATGGCGGCGAAAGCGGCTGCGCCGCCCACAAATAGGTTCCGCACGGACAGCACCATGGCAGATTGAAGTGCTCTTGTTTCGTCCTGGTCATTGCGGTCAAACGACGACCGTGTGCGATTGACAACCGAGTTGCAAACACGCGAATAAAATAAATGACACTTAAATTAAGCTTCGTTTTTGTATAAATTCACAATTAATATTGACCCTGTCGGTGAAAAGCGTCCAAATATTTGGCCCATTTCATTGACGGAGCGAGGTTTTTCCCCAAAATATTTAAAAAAACGACGAGATTCCAAGTACTTGTCTAACTGGTTGCTTCTTGTATTTAACTTTAAAAAATCGAGACAAAGTTCCCGACTCTTGTAGCACACACACTGGCATGTCATGGTCACTCGCTCATCTACGAGAGTTCGGCCGTCAAAGGCGGCACCGTGCCAGGAAGCAGCGTGAAGCGGAGCCCCACGTTGGTCGTGGCGAACGCAGGACAGAACCCTCGAAAGTATAGATGCCGAAACGCAGGTCCCAGAGGTCGACCGTTGCGGTAGAAACTCAGGAGACCCAACTCAGAATCGTACAAAGTACCGACGACATCGCCTTGGACGCAGACAGCTTCGGGACCTCCATACGGCTCTAACGTGACACTGACTTTCTTGCCAAGATGGGCGGCGAAACCCCAGAAAGTGTCTGTACCAACCACGGTCGAGTTCAGCGGCACGTCGACGGTGGCGACACCGACAAAAATTCCGTCGCCGAGGAGCGTTGTATCCAAGCGAACTTCCCAGTACTTGCAACCGCTGGTCAGTCGTCCTTCAGCGCCTGTTACACAGCCGGTTCCACGACCGATTTGGGTTACTACAGGCGATACGAGGGTCGTTGGATTTTCCGATGTTGCAGCAGCAGCACGACGATTGTTCGTAGTACTTGATAGCTTATCACGAGGATTCACATCGATAGGTGGTGTAGTCGGGTGATATTCTGTCGATGGAGCAGATGGAGCAGTTGGAGGTATTGCTTGGGCGGTCTCCTTGTCGCTGGCTTCGATGTGAAGCAGAGACGAGCATTTGGTGAGCTTGATTGTGGGGAATATGGTGACGAGCAGTGGTCGCAACGACGTAAACACGAGTTGGCCGGGGTTGGGTGGCGAGAGTCTATAGTCGTCGGGGCCACCGAAGAGCGGCTGCATCACCACGACGTTGTCCACGAGCAGCAGTGGCATGTCTAAGTGGCGGAGGATGCGTTCACGCAATGCGGCAAACGAGACGGTTAGCTCCACGGTGAGCGTGAACCGCTCCAACGGCCGCGGCAACGCAAAGCATGTGACCTGAAAGGCATGGGACGTGGACACGATACGTCGCTGCAGGTAGCCGATGCCCCACGGGAACTTGACGGTCACCTTGGGCAGCGACTCCCAGGCTTCCGTGGTGGTAAGTGCCGCCAGACCAAACGGCGTCGCAACCCACATAGTACATGTGGTTGGTGGAATCTTAGGACGCTTTTTATCCAATCATAAACGTAAATGTTCGATTAATACACCCATCTGATTCGTCAATTTAGCATTAATGCAAAGCGCGTGGTGTAATTTTGACCAATCCTGTAACAATATCCACCATTCATTTTAACCAATGATTTAACTAATGTGATATCATTGGTTGTTAAAAAATCTATTTTTGACCAATCCAAGTTGAAACCTCTGGAGTCGCGAAAAAGTGGCGGCAACTTTACGATAATGCTGAACGTGGGCAACAAGTCGAATGCGCGGCAGCAGGTGCAGCGCCGGTCCGCAGCTCATTACCGCTACGCGCTTTCCATGTACCAAGATGCTCCCGTGGTGGAAGTGACGCTGGAAGAATTTGAATCGTACTCGATCGATCGGTTGCATGTGCTCAAGACGGTCGAGATGCACCGCGTGCGTGGTGGCAACCCGCGCGAGACAGAGGTGAAGGTGGACAAGGCGTTGAACATGTACCTTCCCATGCGCACGTCGGAAGACCGTGAGAAGGATCAGCTGTCCCACTTCATCCTGCGCATGGCGTTTTGCCACACGGAAGAGTTGCGGCGGTGGTTTCTCGCGCACGAGAGTTACTTGTTCAAGCACCGGTTGGATCGCGCGACCCGCGAGGACAAGATGCACTTTATGCGGACAAACGGATTGATCTACGAACAGGTACCCGGCATATCCACCCCATCATCCAAACCTCGATCGATCATCTCATGCGTCCATGTTAGGTCGACGAAGACGAAATGAAAGCGTTGGCGCCAAAGTTGAAGACCGTCCGCGCAACCACCATGACGGACATGAAGGAAGCGTACAAAGACCTCGACGTGCATGTCAAAGTTCCGTTCACGGAAGCCATCGACCTCGTACAACATGACGCCCTTCCTGCTTTCGCGTTTCTCATGCCACCCGTGATAGATTGGATCGCGCAAAGTGTACCTCCAGGGCGGCATCGCATATGTACCCTTCGACCACTTGGTGTCGATTCTCTACGCTCGGTTTCGGTCATCGGTTCGTAATTCACTTGGTTTGAATTCGACATTTGATTGATTTTTCATTCATTTTGCTCCTTTTTTTGTTGTTTTACTTAAACACTATTATTATCTTTCTTTTACCCAAATATTTTGGCTGAGTTTTGCGCTGAATCACCAAATGTATCGATCGATTCTTTATATTTGTATGTACTAGTAGTAAAAAGGTTTTCTTTTGGTGTTTGTTTTGTCCCGTTATTTGAGTTCCTCCCTTATTTTGCGTTTATTCCGGTTTTCTTGCCTTATTTTTTTTTTTTTTTTTTTGTTTTCCGTTGAATTTTGTTTTTTGTGTTGTTTTTTGTTTGGATTTTCATTGGTTTTGTTTGGTTCTTTCGGCGGGGTCAACATTATTAACCAATCAAAACCCATTTCTCAATGAAATTCAACCAATCAGATCGATTCTGGATCGGTTTGGTTCCCCAAATTTGTACTATCAAATCGACAAGACTGGTTTATATGTTTCCTACTTGTAGCTGTCCAAACAATTAGCCGTGGCGTTTCGAAAGTTTGGCGGGTCAGCCGCCTCCCGGGACGATCGGTTGATGCCAGTGCTCAAGAACCTAGCCAAGCACCACATCGGCCCCGACTACTCGACCGCGCCGGTTGCGTCCGGTAATTCCATCACCGCCGCCATGGTGGACGGCCTGTCCAAGACGTCCATGCCGCTGTGCATGAAGTCGCTCCATCTCGCGCTTACGACGCAGAGCCACCTCAAGCACGGCGGCCGCATGCAGTACGGACTGTTCCTCAAGGGCATGGGGCTGCAACTGGACGACGCAATTGAGTTTTGGCGCAAAGAGTTTTGCAAAAAGATCAACGTCGACGACTTCAATAAAAAGTACGCGTACAACATCCGACACAACTACGGCAAAGAAGGCAAGCGCAAAGACTACACCCCGTTGAACTGCATGAAAATCATCACGTCCGACCCGCCCAAACAAGGCGAATACCACGGTACGTACGAGTTACAGCTTGTATTTATGTATCGAGAATCGAGATAGCTTTCTTTCATATACAACTTGTATTGATGTATCGAGAATCGAAATAGCTTTCAAGTGAATTATAGTGTGGAATGAATGATTTGATTGTGGCGACGGGATGGCTTGATGTGTATTATATAGACATGCCATCACGCAATGATATTGAATAGCCCTGCCAGAGTCGAAAGGTCGGGGTTACTTGCAGTCTAGTGTTTGTGTTGGGTTGATATATATATATAGTCGTGAGTCTGTGATAGTCGTGAGTCGGTGAGTTTTTATGTAGACTTTGAAATTTATTATATAATTGGCTGAAATATTACAAAGGAGGGGTAATATTCTTTCGTGAACATTTGGCAAAAACGCAAGTTTATCATGTATTTCAGTGACTTGTGTAGTCGTTACCAAAATTGGATAATGGGGAGGAGGCAAAACAGTTGCAAAACGAAGTATTGTGCTTTCGAGTGAAATTTCGTGTTGTGGTTTCTCGTTGGAATTTCAATCGATTTGATTGGCTACTTCAGATGAGCTCAACATTATTAGCCAATCAAAACCCATTTCTCAATGAAATTCAACCAATCAGATCGATTCTGGATCGGTTTGGTCGGCGCGATTATTCGATTGCACCAAACCCTCCCCAAATTTGTATATCAAATCGACAATAAAGTTAAGCTCTAATTTTTCTTTGTGGAGTATATATATATATATATATATATATATATATATATATATTAGTGCCTTTTGGTTGTGTGGTGCTTGCTATTCGTCGAGATATCTTCTATGAGCACTTGCATGCGTGAGCACTGGGCGATGATTTCTGACGTAATGGCCTGAACTTTTGAGTCCATGTGCATTGCTATTGTTGTTTTTCCTCGGTGTTTATATATATATATATATTTCATGGCGACTGTACGTAGGCTGTCCATTTCGGCACTTTGACGAGCACCATTTGCGCGCAAGTTTGCGCGGCATCGGCGAGATCGACAAGGAAGCGATCGTGCAGCTGGCCAAAGCCAAGCAGTTCCAAGTCGCATGCAAGCGGCACTTTGAAGCGATGCACCCCAAAGCCAACTCGGACGGCGTGGGCAACCACCCGAACGCATTTTTCGAAGAAAGTCGCAAGTATTTCGACAGCCAACCCTCGAACAACAACGGCGTCACACCACCAAACAACACTCCTGCGACAGCGGTCAAGTCCGAGTAAACCAACCCCCCCCCCAAGAAGGACATCTAGTATTAGTATAGTAGTACGAAGTACGTAGTAGTACTGTAGCATCCTCCTAGTAGTATCCACAAACACACACAAATACATGCATGCAAATCGTCCAGTGTTGTTTTCTGTTTCATGTTGTGAGCGTGCCAAAAGTACACTTCAAGCGACAAGCCAAGCTACAAAGGTAGCTACTAGTACTTCGGAGTACAAACGTACCGGTATTAGTACTCCAATGGTAGCTACTATTAATAGTACAAAGGTTGCTATTAGTACAATGGTAGCTACTACAAAGGTAGGAGCTACTGGTAGCTACTGAGGTTGTACTACAAGTAACGTGTAACATAGGTCAAGGGCAACTTTAGTAGTGCATATTCGTACGTTGATATATACAGGATTGTGGCCATGTGCGGGTGAAGTATATATATATATCAACACCCGTCTAAGTTGTTGTTGTCAGCAGCATCGTCGTCGTTGGTGTTGTCAAGGCTGGCCTGATGCTGGTTCTCGTCGAGGTTGTGGACAACATCACGAAGGTACTTGCGACGCAGTATGTCGGCAAAGCTACGCACAATCACGAGGCGAAGCAGGCGCCGATCCGACCGAAAACTCTGCACGACGTGGTCAACTGTACTCGTACTCCCTTTAACGGGAGGTTCCAAAGTCGACGGGGTGGTCGTGTTGCCGCCGTCTACGGTTGACGTCGTGCGAAATCATCCCAACTTGAGGACAAAAAATATGCCGCAGGAAGCTAGGTACTTCTACCTTCTTCGTCGGGGGGGTTGGGGGGCGTGGGAAAGAGACGGGGGCCCCCAAGGTACGACAGACAAGACAGAAAAGGCTCAGCAGATGCCATGAACGTGCTGGACACTGTGAACGCGCCTTTTTCGTACTAACATGGCAAGGTCGTCATGTGACAGACATGTCACGATTCAGTACGTGGAGGTGCTTTTCCAAGTAGATTTCGGCAGGGTGTCGGCCGTCTAGGTAGTTGGTGGCGTGGAATTGTTTGATTTGATCGGTCACTGCGTTAAGTACCTACAAACCACGAATATATGACCTACAATCGAGCTATAGAAGCATGCACGTGTATGTCAATGACGTACGATGCCATACGGGCCGTGAACGTTGCAATCGTGGGCTGCCACGTAATGAAGTACCTCGCTCTCGGGCACTTGAAATGCTCTAACTTCAATCGTGAGTATGAATTATTTACTGTACAGTACATATGCACGAGCATGCAAAGAAACTCGAGACAGCACACCGTTGCTTGGCAGAGAGCGGCAACGCCGCCAGCCACGACTTGAACGAGTCGCCGTGGGTTGCTCGAAATGACGCGTACGACGACAGTTGCTGCTTCATCGAGGCTCGAATGATACATCGCTGGGTCTGGACATCTTCGTGAATAAAGGTCGGCCAAGGTGAGAACAGCTCGCGATGTTCGTCGTCCGTGTCTAGCAAAACCATGGTCAGGATTAATAGAAACGTAATCGTTCGCCTGGTCCATTGAACTGACGGCGACGAAAGGATTGGTAGGGGGCGGTGTGTACCCCAGTCGGAACACTGCTGGAATTTGTCCCAGTTCATCATGGCGTTCGTGATGCCGCAGCAGGCGCAGCCGCCACCCTGGCTCACGTAATCAAACATGGTCTTGTCGACTACCCACGCATCCTGAAAGGCCATGCTGTGGAGTCGAAGATGTGAGGATGGTACTGCAAGATGCCTTGATGGTGACGGAGACCAATTCTAGAGCAAGGTGTAGTGTGTGAATGAAGGTGGTGAAGATCCAACGAGTTACGAAAGGTCGCGAAACTATATGCAGTGTGATTGGTTTAAATGCTCAACATGATCGAAAATAGTTGCGTTTTACTGGATAAATTGTAGTTATACATGTGCCATGTTTTACCAATCGTTGATTGGTCTACCCCAAACACATTGAGACATCGTGATGGACGAGGAAGCAGTCGACACGACCACCGCCACGACGACCCCACCGCAGCCGACAGGTGAGGACTTGTCATCCAAGGCTGGAGATGCAAGGGCATCTACGGATCAGTCCACCGACCTGTTTCGTCGTCGCGCGGGGGATTTGTTGTCGTCCTTGAGCTCGACTCTGGATGACAACGTCATGTTGTTCCGATGGGGTTGCATGGCGACGATGGTGCGTTGCTTGCTCGTGTCTCCATGAATCTCATGCGTATCAACCATAATAATGTAGGTGGGCTGCGCGTACATTAGCATTCGTTCCAGCGGCTTGGTACGTTTGCTTTCCATCCTTGGTTGACCCTTATCCGCGTCTAGTTGACGCGATATACGTCGTTGGACGCCCTTCCAGTGGGAGTTCCCGTCGTCGGCCGCGTATTAGGTCAACATGCTGCCGACCCAAGCACGCTCTACGTGTACCACACGCCATGGGTGCGTCGCGTGCTGCTCAAGGAAACCCTTCCGCGGGGGATGGACGTCAGCGGCCACTTGACCGACACGTCGTCGGTCATTGCAGTGCGTCCATTCGGCGTGGACATGCAAGACGAAGCCAAGGTAACGACGACGGCACCGTCATGGACGACCTCTTGATCCGTCCCTATCCTCTCTGTACATCTACTATAGCGGTGGCTTTACTCGGACTTCGTCGCGGCCAGACGTTATGTCACCATTGAGCTTCTCTATCGGTACACGACGAACGATTCCGTCTCTCACACTACTACATCCTCCTCCTAACGTTACTACTCATCATCACCGTGAGAACTTTCCTCGTGGACTTGCATTAGCCCACCGCCTCCATTGTCGTCGTCGTCATCTACGGACTATCCTCCCGCGGTCGTGCCGCCGACACCGACGCTGGCGGTTGGCGCGTGCTCCATTTCCACCCCCAAAAACCTGTTCTTTCGACAAGACATGGCGGAATTTGCCGTCGCGCGAGGAATTGCCGTGTGCCGTCCAGAGCCTGATGTGGATGTCGTCAAACCTAACATGAGGTACCCACGTCGCAGCTAACTAGCTAGCTACGTGACGATCATCGTGAATGCCTACTAGCCGTCGATCCATCAAGCGCTTGGAACGGCGCACAAAGCGACTCGCGTCGCGACAGGAGTATGCACAAACCATGCGATACGGGGTATGGAAGGAATGGGCCGAGCCGGAAGTGGCCCAGCGCATGGTGTCAGCAGGGAAGCGCGCGTCGACGGCGGCGATGCAGCGCATCTTTGGCACGTGGTGGACCAAGTATTAAACATGTGTACAAAGTGTATTCAACAAGAGAGACTTAGCCGTAGCAACGGATTTGATCGGTGGAGTTTTTGGCCGCGCATTGGCCGCCCTTTTCCAGGTACTTTTGGTGGTATTCTTCGGCGTGGTAGAACGTTCCTGCGGGCTCGATCTCCGTGACGATTTCAGTCTTGGTGACTTGGCCACGTTCTGCCTTGGCGGCTTCCGCTTCTTCCTTTTGTTCGTCGTTGTGGTAGTAAATGCCGCTGCGGTATTGCGTGCCCACATCGTTCTTTTGTCGGTTGAGGGTGGTAGGGTCATGGATCGAGAAGAACTTGTCCAACAGTTCCTTGTACGTGATGGTGTTGACGTCAAACTTGATTTGAACGGCTTCAGCATGTCCAGTGTCGCCCTTGCACACCTCACGGTACGTCGGGTTGACGGTCGAGCCGTTGATGAACCCGACATGGGTCTCAACCACGCCTTCCAAGCGCTGGAAGTTGAGCTCCACGCTCCAGTAGCATCCAGCGGCGAACGTCGCCAATTGCTCATGGGGTTCCAACGACACAGGGACGGTCTTGGTCATTTCGGCTTCTGTGGAGATCGTTGCGAAATCGAAAATGAGCTTTACTGGAAAGGGTGAGGAAATACGCCAATCAGCGTCGAGGACTCTTTTGGTATCAAAGTGACTGGAATAACATATAGTATATACAGCCCAAGAGTACTGATAGGTATTCCCTTATTCAAGTTTTTGAGAGGAAAATCTAGCTCATACACATCAAGACAATAAGATTTGATGGACTGAATTAGTAGCATTCGAACTCGTCCTCTATGTGATTGGCTTAAATAATATAGTTATTTAGCCAATCCAAGTTGAATCCATTTCAGAGTCATCGGCATCCTTGAACTTGATTGGTCCGATTTCAGATGGGGTTTCGTTTTGAATTGCACTTTAGGTAACATCAAATTTGCGATTGATCTTGCAACCATGTTCATCTCATTTTGCAGCCTGCACTATATCGATGTGACCTGCTTCCATGTTCTTTGGTAAGCGGTTGTTTCCATGCTTCATGAACGAAGTGTAGCATTTGCCATTTGGTGAAACAGTACTGAGACACGGCCGTGATTTCCATTGTAATTAGTTACTCTGTAGCCAATATTATGGCCAATCAAAACAACGACAATTTCCCCCAATTATCCAAAAACGGCAACCTGGAATCCCATTGAATTCGATTGCCTTCACGGTTTCAAGATGGCGGCGGTGGCATTCCGATGAGCATTCCGTCCACAATCTGACATGACGTCCAACGCAAACACTGACGCGCCTCAGAGCGTTGCCACATTTGCAGCCGGGTGCTTTTGGAGCGTCGAGCTGCACTTCCAGCGCCTCCCTGGCGTGGTAGACACCAAAGTTGGGTACATCAATGGCCACACCGTGAACCCAACCTATCGCCAAGTGTGTTCCGGGACCACGGGGCATGCCGAGGCCGTGCAAGTCACGTTTGATTCCACGGTAATCTCGTACCAAGACCTGGTAGACAAGTTCTTCTCGATCCACGACCCTACGACCCTCAACCGACAAAAGAACGACGTGGGAACGCAATACCGCAGCGGCATTTACTACCACAACGACGACCAAAAGGATTGTGCAGTGGCATCGAAGAGGAAACGGCAGAAAAGGCCAACGCCCCCACATCAACGGTGGTGGAGGTCTATCCTGCATACCGTCTTTGGTTGCAATGGCGACGTCGTGGTGGTGACCGAAGTCCTGCCAGCGGGGCAATTTTACATTGCAGAAGAGTATCATCAGCGGTACTTGGAAAAGGGAGGGCAATGTGCGGCCAAAGGTTCGACAGCGTCGGTGCGGTGTTATGGTTAACTATAGCTAATGACGTAGTACTGTAGCCCAATAGAACGCTCTCATTATTGTGGTGTCGGTGGTAAGCTAGGAAAGCCGATGATTTGCTAAACTATGGACTTCCGTAGTGTGCTCCAATACACTATACGTATTGTACTCGGTCAAATTTGAACAAATGAGTTCTCCACTGTTAACTTTACAGTTCAATAGATCTAGCTAGCCCATGAATGTTGTCCATGCATCATGTAGTCCTCTGCAAGGCTGACGGTAGCATCCTTGCTAGAAATTCGCCGAGCTTTTTTTCCGTATAATGTGCTCACCTTTGCAGCATTGCTGTCTCGGCTAGTTACACTGCAAATGCCTTTTTAGGTGAAACGGCTTTTTGAAACTGCTCACACTAATCAACAGGAGCACACTATTTCAAGGTGGTCTTCGGAATCGTTCCAACGGTGGCATTTTCAATGCTTGGGCAAGTTGGCCAGGGAAGCATGAGGTCGTGGACCAAGTTGAACTCTTGCGTAGGAATGTCGTTGGCATGCCATCCCACTGCATGTATGATGTCTTCGTCGTCGTCAACGGCGGCAGCGACTCCACCTATGCAGGACGTGGCGACGTTTGCAGCAGGATGCTTCTGGGGCGTCGAACTTCACTTTCAACGCGTACCAGGTGTGCTGGTCACCCGCGTGGGGTACACCAATGGGCACACACTCAACCCTACATACAAGGACATCTGCCGCGGCGACACTGGGCACGCTGAAGCTGTCCAAGTGACGTTTGACAGCGCCATTGTACCCTACAAGGACCTGTTGGAGAAATTCTGGTCCATCCACGACCCCACAACTTTGAACCAGCAAAAGAACGACGTTGGCACGCAGTACCGGTCGGGCATATATTACCACAACGACGAGCAAAAGGCGCTAGCGGAAGCGTCCAAGGCCACCCAACAAACCCATCTCCATGCCACCGCACTCCTCCCTCGAATCATCAGTAGCAGAGACATCGTCACGGAGATTGAACCGGCAGGAGTGTTTTACCCCGCTGAGGATTACCACCAACAATACCTTCAAAAAGGAGGCCAGTGCGCCAAGAAGGGGACCACCGACTCGATTCGGTGCTACGGCTAACTTGACTAAGATCACTTGTGGTGTTAACGCATTGGATTGAATATTTCATTGGTTAAAACACCTCGGGGTGATACTTGAGGGTCACGTTGTTGCCTGCTTTGTGGCACTCGGTGGTGACTTGGTGCAACGTGTCTCGAATGGTGGTCTTGATGGCGGCAGGACCGCAGAAAAACACTCCAATCTCCGCATGTCGATGGGCGTTCGCCACGGCTGTGAGAATGCCATGGTACTTGGGTCTTCCCAACTTGGTTGGCAACGGCAAATTGGCCAGTCCAGAGATTGGGTCCACAGAATTGCTGTCCACGCAGGTACTTGTCATCTTTTGGAGCACGCGCAAGACATCGGTGGCGTCCGGCGCGGTCTTGGCGAAGTTTCCAGTCAGATACAGCTGGACATCGAGGTTGGGCAGGGCCCCCATTTGCTCCAATATGTGCTGGTGGGTCTTGAACATTGTTTGCTTGTTGGTCTGCCAATGCACGTACACTTGTTGTCCCATGTGGGGGGTCGAATGTCGACGCGACGAGAGGTCGTGTTGCTTAGCGTCCACGAGGCATTGCTGCAGAACGGAGATGTATGGCGTGATGCCAATGCCAGCCCCAAACAACACTGCGACGCTGTACTGGCGCACTTCCACGGCGGGCGCGGGGATGGGGCCGTCGATGTGAACATACAAATGGGGGTGCACCACGTCGTAGAGGCGTCGGGTCCAGTCCCCCGACACTTGAATCTGCACCGCCACTTCGTGCTTGTCTTGTGCGGTGATGCTGAACGGATGCCACTCGTACTTGTGGACAAGGGGCACATGAAGACGAAGGAACGACCCGGGGAGGACGTTCTGAAACCGTTTCGTCTTGGGGATGTACAGCGTGAGCGTGTCGTTTGTCTTGGTGAAGTGCGACACGGCCGACAGTCGTGTACAAAAGTATCGCGGAAACACTTCGACGACAACGTACACGATCGTGGGGATGGCGAGAAACACAACCGCCTGCGGGGGTTCGAGCCATCCGCGGACGCCATGCACAAACGTTAGGCAAAACATAATGCCGTCCAACACATGGGCCAACATGTTCCACCGGATGTTGCGGCGTCGGGACCGGACGTATGCCGTCTTGAAAACGCATGCGACGACGCTGCACACGACCATCACGACCCCCGTCCACCCCGTGAGCGTCACCACAAACCCCATCGGCCCTGGCTTGGGCTTCCCCGCAAACTCGGGCGCTTTGGACAGCACCGATTGTGCCCACGCGTCCCTCGACGCCCGGGGGATCTTGATCCAAATGCTCACCGCTTGGCCTGCCACGTGCACCCAGCCGGAAATGTAAAACAAGATGCCGTGCACCATGTGGCACACCACGCGGTGCTCCAGAGCGAGGGCGTGCGCGATGTCTAAATTGGCCTTGGTGACGGCGTACTGCAGTCGTGTGAACGTGGGCCAGAGCAAGAAGAAGCCGTTAAGGAGGTTCACTTGCGCGGCCCCCCGCGCGATGCACACACTGTACCCGGACAGGTTGAACGCGGGCTTGCGTTGATGGTACACGTCAAACTTCCACAGAAACACTGCTACGTTTAGAACCGCGTAGAGCCCCCACCATACTTTGATTGAGGACGGGTACGCTTGGAACAACATCCACATGGCGTGAAGACGCGAGGGGTTTCTTCCGTTGGTAGTATTGTCATTGCCGTCAATGCCGCTTCTAGGGGTTTTAGGGGGGTCAAACACACTGGTGCGGAGGTTGGGCAGCGACGTGACGACATCGGCAAATTGAGTGGCGTCAATGTGCCAGCGTTGAAAAAATACTTGCCCCACCACACCATCAATGTCTCCGTGCAAACTCAATCGACACGTGGCGGCGGCGGCGCGGATCCCCCCCGCCAAGAGCGCGGGGGACAGCACCCCCGAGTGGATCGTGTCCAACGAATCAAAGACCCGCAACGCTAAGTCTCCATCCACGTCGGGGGCTTCGATGGCGCAGCTTTCGGTTGTGGACATGGAGGCTTCTGTGGCCGAGTTGCTGCGACACGTTTCAATGGGCAGCAACGGGCGCGTGGTGGGCTTGTGTGCCATTCAAAAGTTGTTAGGGTGTTTGAGAAAGTTGCCTAGAACAAAAGTGATCCCAACGACTAGGGAGGGACAAAGGTATTTTGCCGCCTTCCAAATACAACGTACAGTACATGGAGAAACCAACGCAAGGTAAAAAAGTGTATGCTCTTGTAAAAGGCGGAAAATGTGGGGAAATTTGCGTTTCAAGCAACACCATAGTAGTATCCATAGTAATCATATTGGTAATTCGATTTCAAAATGGACTGGGGCTGCCAATCAAATCGACGAAGCAAAATCGAGGCAGTAATCGACGCACCGAAGTAGCCAATGAAAGTTTCGGGAAAAAAACTTTCGACCAATCAAAAATTGCAGGCGTATCCGGTGCGTCTCCATTTCACAAAGAGATCTACATTGCATCGGCCAGAAGTCATATACTATTTATTTCAAGTAAAAATGACGTCTCGACGATATCAGGTAGATTTGTCGAATCTACCGAAAATACCAAATTTAGCTTATAATATACGATCCACACAGATTTTAACAAAGGGGAAATTCATTCGTTCGTTAGCCAATCCAAGTGGCCGTTTACTTGAAGCGAATGATAGGCCTCTCCCATGTTGTTTTGTATGGCAGTTCAAAAAGCCCGCTATATCTATCTACGCGTCGACGTCCCAGCTCCCAAACGACTGCAATCGGGCGTCGATGCGAGCAACCACGTCGGCGCCAAACCCTTCGATGCCCTTGTCGTCCATTATGGCCAGTTCCTTGGTTGTCAAAATGACAATGTTGCCTGGACTTAGCGGCAGCTCGTAGCGCCAGCGGGACATGAACATGCGGTCGAAGCCGCCGCATCGGATGCCGCTCACGGAACTGCGCGCTTTCCATACTTCTTGGTACAGGAAATCCATGTCGTCCTTGTCCACGGCAATCTTGGACCTACACCACTCAAAACATCAATACATACGGAATCAATATCGGATGTGGTGGTAGTTTTGAACGGATCGTGTGCATTGAATCATATATATATTTATATATTTATATGATGATGACTGAACGTACTCGAAGCCAGCGTCCTTTTCTCGCTGTTGCAACCGTTGGTAGTACTTGTTGCGCTGGTCACGGCCAAGCTTGGCGACATTTTCAGGACTATCACAATATAAAAGTTATGGTCGATTATGATCAAATTTTCCAATATGTTCAATCATCTAGCCCAAATAGAGCCGAGAAAATATCTGATTGGCTAATATCCACTTGGTCCTTTCCGGTAGAAAATCGAAAATGGATTGCAGCCAATCAGAGACAAGTTATTTCGGATTGACCAATGGGAGAGATTCGTGTCCGGTTCGGTCGGCGAGATACGATCGAACAAGGTATGGAAATTCATATCGAATCTTCAATACAATGAAAACATAATATTACGTCAAAACCACAACAAGTTGATCAAACAATATTGTCAACTTTCTTCAAATTTCCCAATTTTGCATGGTTCGTTCAATCGAGCACAAATAGAGCCGAGACATCTGATTGGCCATTATCTACTTCGCCCTTTCCAGTAGAAACTCGAAAATGGATTGTAGCCAATCAGCGACAAGTAATTTTGGATTGACCAATGGGTGAGATTGGTGCTCAAATTCGCTCGGCGAGATTCGATTGAACGGGGTCCGGAAATTCATACCGAATCTCCAATAAATCACTCGCAATTCAGTACATTGGTCAAGTGTTGGGATATGGAAACATGTGCAGTCGAAACCGTCATTCGGAACGGAGTAGCAGCAACCCACGTTAAACAAGCCCAAATCATATCGTATACATACATATATATTTCTCGTCAAACTCGACGAACCATCAAGATATCAAATCCTTCACTTACGTAATCGGGGCGCCAGCGATTTCCGTCAACACAAAGGCCGCCATGGATTGTCCAAACATTGCAGGCATCGTGCCTACCACCAACAAGGTGCGGTTACGATAAGTTCAACCACAGTCTTGGGTGCTGAATCCATTGTTAGCTCTATCGATCACTCATAACCCAGAACACTATTCAAGGGGCGAATCAAATTCCAAAAAGCAACCTTCAACATATTGTGGATTCGGTACAGAGTTCCAGACCCCGTCGTGTCCAATCTCGGATTCTATTGGCTAATCCAAATTTGAGTGGATCTGATTGGCTCTTACAGATATGTTCAGCCAATGAAAAGTATTCAAATATACGATATTTGTCGTACTTCGCACGATACGCAATTAAATTTGAAGAATCTATTTAAATATTCGAACTGATTCATTGATGATTTGAGATTGTAATGAATTTTACAATTATATTAGCGTTTTATATTTCATGGTGCAGATCAACGACAAATACGATAGAATGAACCACGCGATATTTTCGGACGTGTACAGCGAATTCACAATATAGATAGTGCTTCACCACTGGACCTTTTGCAATACAAACTTCAAGAAGTCATCAATCGATGGAGTTGGCGAATCCGCCCAAAAAACACACACACATATTGTGCTTTCGAGTGAAATTTCGTGTTGTGGCGTGGTTTCTTGTTGGAATTAAGATCGATTTGATTGGCTACTTCAGATGAGCTCAAAATTATTAGCCAATCAAAACCATCTCAATGAAATTCAACCAATCAGATCGATTGTGGATCAGCTTGGTCGGCACGATTTGATTGCACCTCCTCCCCAAATTTGTATCAAATCGACAATAAAAGTCCACATTTTGGCTGAACGCATGCACATACATGGTCAATTCTCGTGTCAATTGGTTCCATCGATCCTCTTCAGCATGCATAAACGACTTCATAAACGAACTAAGACGTTGACTAGGTCATTTCGCAATCGAGGGACCACCATGTTAACGTAGGCATCGTACCGAGCACGGGAATCACTCGAATGCGAAAGTTTTCGACATTGCCAAACTGGTTGGGGTTGTCGACTTGGTCGGCGTCCAGCGGCAGCAGCTTGCATCGACTTTTCTCGCTCGAGTATACAGTCGTGATGGTCGACGCATCCACGTTCTTCTTTTTCAAAAAGTAGCGAATTTTCGTCGCCAGGTTGTCGCCTACAAGGCGTTGTTGTTTGGAATAGAAACAACAAGTGCTCTAGAAAGTATATGCCACGTCACGTACGCACAGAGTCCTGCAGCGAGCCAATGTGGATGCGAGTGGGATCGGCCTTGCCCCCGGCACTGGTGGCCGTGATGACCTTGAGCCCGTTGGCGCTGGCAGCTGCCAGCAGGGCCACCTTGGTCGTCACGTCGTCAATGCAATCCAAAATGTACGCTGGGTTGCCTGTAAAAAAGAATGTCAACATCACCACATGTCGCCACGTATTAGTTGTGCTTATCGAAACTCGAGTGACATGGAGAAAAAATCGACATCATCAGCAGAAAAGGATTTAGCCAATCAGATTGCAGGAAATCATCACCAAAGTTAAATTAGTGTGATACTACGAATCACCTCAGGACCCCTCTTTACAGGCAAAACTCACAAAGTATCGTTCGACAGATTTGGCGATTAAGCACAAACGTCCAAATTTTGGGTACATGGACAATATAAAAGACATATCACACATATTCAAAACAGCTTCTCTCTCCATCGTTCAGACAACTATCGTATAAGGAGACCAACGGACCAGCCAAGAGTTGGTCCGCTACGGCTTCTTCAAACATGACTGGCAGCGCCTCAATGTTGGCCTGGGGCACGATCTCCAGCAGGTGTTGCTTCAGAACTTGCGCTTTGGACAGACCGACGTCGGCGCGGGTGGCCACGGCGTGGCGGTTCAACGACGACAACGTGACGTTGTCAAAGTCAATGAGGCGGAGGTGCCGGACGCCAGACCGCGCCAGCATGTGCGCGGCGTGCGACCCTACACCGCCGAGCCCAATCACAATCACAAACGCATGTTGGATCTTGTCAAAGCCTTCTTCGCCAAAGAACGAACAGATGCGGCTGAATTGCTCGGCCGACAACGCGTCCACCTCTACTGGCGACGACGAGGGGGCTGCAATTGGCAACGCCTGGGCTTGACGTTGTGGTTTCGACGGTTGTTGTGTCAAGAGGTACTGACCCACGGCAGCAGTCGCCACACCGAGCGAAAACACAGCAGCAGCCTGCACAAACGTCAACGAGCTCGGCGCTTTCATGCTGTTGCTGCTCGTGATGGCAAAATAATGCGCACCAATCGATGCCGCGATTCCTCGTCGCTCATTGGTGGAAGGACGATTTCGATGGGAGAGGCGACACCCCGATTTTCATGTACAATTGTGAATTCGGTACGAATTTCCTGAACCTCGCCGCGACGTTTGATTGGTTATTCTGAAGATTAGTTAAAATATTTCTTTCTTTTTCAAGTCCTTTCTGCGGATTATTTGTACCGGTAGTATTATAACGAGGACATTCGATGGGTGTGATATAAAAGATTTCAGAATGATGGTTCAATGGTCAAAACGTTGGTTTTATTGAGGATTTAGTATGCCTTAGCGGAACCCCTTGAGTACTATAGTAGCAGCTGCCAGTGAACTCTGTCGCGAAGTCTAGCCGCAAGTATGTAGGCACGGGTAACTGATATCAAAGTCGTGGACAGTACAATCGCCAGGTGCTTGAGATCGAAAACGCGTGCATAGCCTTCAGTTGCTTACCAGTCTTGCTACTTCGAAGCATGATAAGTGGGATCATAAACGGTTCCTTTGACGTGTCCTTGATTAGGTCAAAGCGTTGCCTCGGAAGACGGACACGCGACCAAAAAAGCGCCAATTGAGATGAACATTCCGCTCGAGGAATGTGGTCTAGAATCCACGGGCCTCAATGCGGACTTGACGACGCCATTAAGGTAGACACATCATACCCTCATTTTCATGATTTTCAATCAAATTGCGGTAAGGGGTACAAAGAACCTTACAGTATCGACATATTCTGGCGGGTCCGCCGGGCCTTTGAGCCCCTTGGCCGAACTGGCGGTCCGTTCTCGTTAAGCCATGTGAGGCGTATGCCTCTGTCAGATCGAGTGTACAGAATGCACACGTTGAGTATAGTATATAGCAGATACAAGGGTCTCACTCAGGCGTGAAACCACTGCTTCACATGTAGTACTGTACTGTACTGAGTACCCTTGCACAAGCAGCGTGTCTGACACAAAAAACAATTACGGTATGTATTGTGAATTTGCTATACTCCTGGAGTAACTTATAAAATTCGCGGGGTTTGTCTAACGTTAATCAATCTTGAAGCACGCTGGTGTTCTGATTGGTTGAATATTACTTGTCCTTTTTGTCCGAGCCAATGAAGTTCACACAAAATTGGATTAGCCAATAGCGTTGATTCGTGATTCGATTCGGCGGCTCGACGGGGTCTGGGAATTTGTACTGACAGTGAATCCACAATAACTGTAGTAACGTTTATTCAAGGGTTACTATCTCAAAACCATTCATGATAACTAATTTCCGGCGTACGGACCAAAATGTCCAACACGTCCTGCATCACCATGGCATCGAACTGCGCGTCGTGGTCGGCGGCAGGCTCCACCGTGTCGTCGTCGCCACTCAAAAAATACATGACAGCCGACGCAAACTCGGTCGACGACTCAAATACTGACACGTCGTCTGTGGAATCCATCGAGTACGATCGAATATGGAGTTCTTGCTTGCACCAGGACGATTCGTCCGCTGTTACCAACTGTGGGGAGACTGGCAGAGTTGTGGGGGTTTGATGCCGCTGGCACCATCCGCCCAGTCTGGCGTGGGAAGTGCAGTTGTGTGATTTGCAGAGGCGACCACCCCCGTGGCGAACACAGCGCTGCCTAGCTTGGGCGTACTGGTTGCATCCTGCTTCGATGCACATCATCTTGGGGGCGCCGTGGTGGTAGCACACGTCGTTCCGTCGGGCTCGAAGGGTGCAGCCAGCAGCGGAGCATTGCTTTTTGGCCCCGTGGCGACAGCACAGTTGCCGGGAGTACGCTTTGTTGGTGCAGTGTTCTGCGATGCAGAGGCTTCGAACGCGCATCGATGGGGTGGCGGTGGACGACGACATGTTTGGAAATGAGCAAGTGGTCGATACTCCGGAGTACTAGGATAAATTTTTGTTTCCAAACTCTTGTTGCAGTGATTCAACCATGTGGAAAATGCACTGTACTCATGACCACCATATGGATCAAGTGACTCATCGTTGCGGTTTTTGTTGGAATGCATCGAAGGGGGAGATAAAAGTAATACCAACAACTGGTAACATTTTAATTAAAACGAATGGTAATACCATCTTGCAGTTATTTTCACAGGGAAGACAATGTATGAACGCAATTTTTATGGACATACCGGAAAGGTACCGTTCCGTTGAATTGGCGTATTGTATTGCGAGTCATCAACGTGGAAGTCTCAACAGCGTGACCACGTGGCACCCCAACGCAGGTGTTTTGCAAATAGAATGTACCCACTCGCATATGGCTCCGCTGGGCACTTTCTAGCAAGCTTAAAGTCGCCCACACCGGCGAGCTATCATTTATATTTGCACGTCCTCTGTTCCAGATAAAGGTTGTGGTGATTGTGCTGGGTAATTTGTACTATTAATAGTATGAGAGTTTGTATTGTTACAAAAAACATATGATTGGTGAATTTTTATTCACTGTCAATTATTAATAAACCTTACGATCATTACAAAAATTTGACGAAGGGCAACATGATATGGTGCACCAGAATCGACTCATACAGTAGTTAGTACATGGAAGTTGCCTTCTAACGTTACTTACTAGTATTTGGCAATCCTCGTCGAGCTGATATGACCTTGTACAATGCTGTTAGCATCAGTAGCAACACACGCCGCCTCATCGCGTTCCTGTAGATGAACCTCGTACAAGATACTGCCAGCTGAGGTTATGCACGCTCGTCCTTGGGCTCGAAAGTTTTAGAGAAACTCGTGAGTCAAGTCAACAAATGTTTTGGCTACCGGTACTGCGAATGTATGGTAACGTTAAGTCATTAAATGGTTTATCGACTGCACTAAGCAGCATTCATTAATTATCTTGCAACGGGTTATGGTCGTTCGCTGCTTGGTCGTAGGAGAAACCATTGTGAAACATGCATAACGCGTTAAGCAAAACGAACGGTCACTTTCTGTTCGGTGTTAGATATATTTACGATATCTAAGCTATCGATTGCTCATGATGACGAGTGAATTGTGCAATTTGGTCCCGAGAATAGCAGATATAACTTCAATTTGCACTTTTCAAATGTGCAAAAGCGAGGCATACTTTGTAACGTTATGGAATACCACTACTGGTACTGTAATGTAAACTTTCACAGTAAACGCATATTATTGATGAATTCGTAAGGCAGGCTTGACTACCAAATTTCTGTCCAATTATATGATAGAAAAGTGAACATAACTGGCCAATAGGATCGTTCTATTCTCGTTGCTACATTGCTAGCTTGTAGGCTGCGGCTATTTGGTTGTGAGCTACAGTAGTAGAATGCGATCCCTTGCTCCTTCCCGCACGCTTGAGCCTGGGCAATGGTCAAGCAGTACGATTAGGGCCCTCCTTGTAACAGCATAGTAGTGGCGCGCCCCGTTGTTCTTAGCGTTGTAGGCGCTCTGGTGGAAGTGCTGGGCTCCGGTGCCGTCGCACATGCCCACGATCTTGGTCGACTTCAATTGTGTCGTCGCACCAGCATTTGGATTTCTTTGGGCTCGCCACAGGAAACATGATCACTATGACGACGCTCCCGATCATCCAGGCTACGAGCACCTTTGAAACGTCGCATGTTGGAAGACCAACGTGAAAACTGAAATGACCACGAAGTGGAATAGACACAAGCAACGACGCAGCTCCATATCTACATTTAGGAACAGATTAAATTGATTTGAACCGATTGGGTGTGCGTCATGTCTGGGAGCGCATCATAGCAGCATTACTAGTGTAAAAAGTGGAGACACCCTACTAGTTTTGCATCGTAGCATAAACCAAGTAATCACATGGGCCAAGCTTGTGAACTACTGGTACTGTCGATAGGTCGTTCATAGCAATTTACTCGTTGATCTTCTAGAGCGGCTTCCTGGATTTCCTATGCCAGTAGACCACGACGAGAACCCTGCTACTCATGTTTACACTGTTAGTTAAAACTATTGCCCAATTCGTAAGGTGGCTCACCTTGCGAGTCTGCTAAAACCTACGGTTTCACCTTATGAATTCTGTATTATAGTATATGGAAGAAATCTCAGGACCTCAACTCAGGCAAAAATAACCCAAATTAGAAAGAGTTGAATGTATTGTGCTTTTCACTCGTTTTGGCTATTCACACCATAAACCTGGGTGTTTGTTACATCGACCCCAGGGTTTTAGATAATCCGTACCGTGATTTAGGATCACGTTTCGTTACAGAATGTAATTCTAGGGAGGTCATTTAAGCTTAGTCGATTTGAAACGTGGAGGTAATTTTGGACAGATCTCTATACGCATAGTACCGCTTATATGAAATAATACCGTTTCATTTACCGAGCTTTTATAGTGGCCACTCAGCTACCTCAGCTCGGTATTGTACTAACATCCCTATGATTGGATAGAGTCAATGTCAAGCGCAGGACTACAGAGTGCCAACGTGTGGATATCCAGGTACAGTAGTGCCATTCTTTCACGCTTCCAATATCACAAGTAAGAACTGGTGGAATCGTTCTCGCTATAATTGAAGTTGACCCAAGTGATATAGCAGAATGGCAACGTCAATATGCTTAAATTGTCTTGTGAAACGCACACCAGTGTCGACCAAAAACATTATACGATTAAATCATCCGCCAGCTCAACTGTAGAACCGGGTAGGTATGACATCGTCGGGGTTGTCCATGGTTTCAACGAGTAAACGTGGCACTCGCAAGCGTTGGGCTTGGAAAAGGGATCGAATGGAGGGCAGTCGAGTTGGTTTGCGTGTCAACTGGAAGGAATGATGGCGATGGGGGTCCAACGCCGCGGACATTGTTCTTGGGACTGGCATCGCGTCGGTTTGAAACAAAAGTGAGTCGGGAGGCCCGTCCACGCAGTTCCAAAAATCGGAGTCTTTTGCATGATCGACGAGTTGGCTGTCACATATCTTCTTTTCGCATCGCATTTTGCGGTCGCTCTTGCGTTGGTGAGCGTTTTGCTTGTCCCGGTGAAATGCGCATAGCGAATGGAGCCCCCCATTGAGTTTGATCGCGCGAGGATGTGGGCATTTCCCGCTCTTGTAGCCACAGAGCTGGGTCGAGCTCACAACGCGACGACGACATAGTGGGGGCGCTGACATTGAAAATAGCGTACTGCTTCGATGCTCGCCTACAGTCTCCGAGGCTAAATTTGGAGGACTCAACAAATGAAACGTGTGTGACGGCATTGAGACTAGTCGACGTAACCAAATCACAGGTCTGGTCGCTCAAGCTTCGGCAGTTTCAATCACCTTGGGCGATATGTTCTGTAACGGTCACAACTTGAGTTTGGAGCTGTACAGATCTTTCTATTTATAGACCAACTACACATATCACCAAATCCAGTTATACCAAACCACTTCAAAACGTGGCCGAATCCAACTTGATGCGTGCAAGGCGTTCTACTAGTATAATACTACTAATACTACGTAGTATTACAACATTAGTATGATGATGCTAACAGAGTGTTTGAACGTGCACATACACAGCCGAAACGTCGTTAGACCGTATATGTCCCAACGTCGTCCTGTTGTCATCGGTCCTCGAAGTCGTCGTGCCTTGCATCAATCGTGGGACTTCAGTTACCGTTCCAGAAAATATCGATTTCGAGACTAACCACTTTCACGCTAAGATAGATAAATACTGGCAATGGGTTTGTTTAACGTTACGCTGGTACAACTTCACGACGAGGAGCTTGGTGATGGAAAACGGCAAATTTCAACTGAAAGCCATAGATTGACCATGTGCCTATCGTTCCCAAGACATTACTGTCGATGTGAACCGTTGTTTGAGCATACTGTGGCCGTGAAGAAACTACCTCAGTCAGAATACCGGGTAGTGTGGTGATTAGCCTGCAACCCCCCGCAATGAAACCACGTTATTGCACTACATCCAAGGGGACCGTCCCTGTTCTACAAAAGCAAGAATCGTATTGAAGTTATTGTAATGGGAATCTTGAATGTGTCAACGACTTCTCATGGATGTACCGTATAGCGTTCACGCAATAGTTCCACAAATCCTTCACCGAAGCCGCCTTAGAAATGCTACTTGAGTTTCAACTGCAATTCCGTTCAAAAGTGCCCAAAATCACATGGAAACTTGAGTCGAAATTTGGGCTCTAATTCGTCCCATTATTAAATCTCTCCACCGTTGAGGTATACACAAATGATTCGTTGCCCGTGAAACCAACAGCAGGGGGGTGCCATCTATCGTGAATTGTACTGGTATAAATCGACTCTAGCTAAACATCGGCAAGGAGCCGGGAGGTTTTGGCAGCCCCCCTCCGATACGTATTGGATTTGGAAAGTGAAATGTACCACTATGTACATTTCGCTGATCACTCACAATGATTGCACGTTGGAAGAGATCCAGGATCCTTACCGTATGTCGACGACCATCGAGCGCAGCCGCCATAAAAAACGCCCACCTATCAGTGCTACCTATTCTTATCCGTCCACCGCGAGGCCAGACCCCTAGCACACGAATGGGGGATGTTGTTTGACGGAGATGCCCAACACGACTCCGCTTGTGTGGGCCCTGGTGTCATTATCATGCTCGTGTCTGTCGTCAGCTTTGCGACTACATTGCGAATTACATACCCACCGCCAAGGCCACCTACGATGGTCTGCGCCTCCGGCTGGCAATGGCGAGGGGATACGCCCACCCTGACGCCTGACGGTCTACGGTGACAAACAACTTCTGGTTCGGCAGAGGCAAGGAGGTGAGCCACTCTGGCCTGTACCTTGCATACCCCCATGCACGGCTCTTTCGATCCATTGTACATGGCGCCACCGGCCACGATACGACCACTACGCAGCAGGCTTTTTATACAAACAGGCACCTGCCTGATGACTGATCTCGCTGGAAGGGGAGATACCATCTTGCTACGATCTACGACGTTTTGGACATGGATATTGCCTTTGAGTCCGAGTGGCCGATCCCTCAGGCCCTTATCACACCCAGTGTAAGTTAGCTTTGTCTAAATAAACTGTCAATATCATATAAAAACACATTTAGCCCCCGTCACTTCTTGAGCGAGTAGGTTAGCTCTAAACACACTTCGATATAACAAAGAAGAGCTGAAGGTCCCACCTGTTCGATGGGGCGATCGAAACAAAGGACGTCACATTGCCATAGCAGGGCCATTTCTTTGACTACAAAGTGGAATTTTCCACCTGCATTTGGTTTGCAATAATTTGGGGAGGGGGGGCTTTTTCGCATGACAGCTACTCTGTTATAGCTCTAGCCATGGACACGTTGGTTAGCAATTGCTGACGACTTGAGATTCCTTGAGGCGAATATGCGATCGCCCCAACCTGAGAACACATTGTATGGTAGGTTTCCTTTAATTGGCACACATACAGTACAACCGTGAGTACAGCCGTGGACAAGACGTCGCCGATTGGAATATGGAAAGCTTAGTGTAAATTGTATGGAATTTGATCGATGTCTAACGACTAACAAATACGGTATTTGTATACCATGGAATATACTGTTAGTTATTCGTATGCATGCTGCACTTGGCGGCTTGGCACCGCCCGTTGTCCATCATGCAGACATACCTTACGCTGCTTGTGTCCCATGCTAGGACCCGCGCACTTGGGAGTTTTTCCGTGCTCATTTGCTGAGAAGTCCTTCAACGACCCTCCGTTACTGATGTCCTGTGCAAAGTTCGACGCGACGACAAATGCCACCGCTAATGTTGTCGCTATGGGTTCAGGCCCCAGGCTACTTATCTTCTGGGGTTCGAGTGAGCGTTAACTATATGGACAAGCGAATACTAACGCAATAACGTTACTAGAAACAATGTGATTTGTTGTTGGTGGTGGGTCGTTTTGAAACAGCGCAAGGTTTAATCCCCCTGCATGCGTCAAGAGTACAACATTACAGTGTACACGTAGCTCGATGAAGTGGCCCCGTTGAGTCTGGGGCATAATTTGCAGCGACACTTGGTCAACAGTTTTCATTGGGACTCTTCACGAAGTGTCGCTACGAAGACGGGTCGGCGCTTGACTTGGCCAGGCTTGTGCCCATATCAGTCGATGACCTCATCCTGCAACTACATGCGGGTCTTGACGACTTCGAGGGGCTTGGAGATAAATGACGCCAATGAGAGTCGTTCGCGGCAAGGAAGATGTTGGCCAGCACAACCATCCCCTCACGAAGGTGGCGGCTGAACTAGCAGTAAAAGCAACCTGTGATGATTGTCATCACAATTGCCCAATTCCAATTATCCTTAATAAAATTTTGCAGTATCGATAATTGGGTTTTACACGTACACTTCCGGTTTTGGCAGACACAGCCGAGGGCGATGATAAAGATGAGTTCACTGTAATAATACAATACTGTTGCTCTGTTTCAACTGCAAGTTGCTGTTTGAAAACTTAATTTCTTCGATAACGTTACTAACTTACTGTAACGTTACGAGCATGTACTGGCGAAAACTCATACTACGTAGTAATAATGTTAAAATGAAGTTATGGAAGGTCGAAATCGAGGCATTTCTGGTTGGTGAAAGCAATATCTGGAGTTTCTTCGTAGTAATCCAATTGGTTGGAGAGGGACATTGGCTGCTGTAGACTGCAAATGCAGTGCTTGCATTCAGAAATTCGCGCCGTTTCAGAATTGTTCCGGATATTTCACTACTTTTTGCGGATGCAGTATTATTATTGCGCATGTGCATGTTTTGTGGCGTACTCGGACGGTTATGTCGACATGCGCATACTGTATATCGAAAATTAACAAACTTTGATGTCGCTTTTCTTGATCTGTGTAACTTTGATGATTCTCGAGCTGTGTAATACTTCTTACTAGTATAGCAATGCTACTCGTACTACAACATAGTCCATTACAAACTCAGCCTATGCAGCAGGGTCTGCGCGTACATAGCACTCGCTGGCATGAGGCTTCTTATCCGCCGCATGTACAGTACACGCTTGTTCGTGAAATACTGAGTACGACGAATTTGGCAAGTTCGAAGTTGCCTTTGTCTACAGCTGTTGATTCAGGCGACATGCAAAATGGTGTTGTTGATAGTATTGGTTGTTGTTATGAGGAATGGAGAGTTTCGTGACTCGTTGTGCAGTACGGTATGCATTGAGAAATCGCTGAACTTTTGCATCGCGCTTTTCCCGCATCTGCAGGATGCATATATCGTTTTGCAAAACGTAAATAATTATTGGGCTGAATAAAAATACGCAAATATTAAATATGTTAAGCGAACAAGTAACTGTCACTGTACACGCCGTTTGTTTCCGTGGAAGTGGCTGATTCTGTTCCTGGTTGACTTGCACGTGGCAACTTGAATAAAGTTGCATGTATCCCCTTGTCAATGATACACCATGGTTTGAAGGAATCAAGGACCCTTAATCCTTCATAGTGATGTCTTTGTGTCCTGTTCCGGTAAATTCTAACCTATTGCTAAAGCATAGGTTAAAGTTAAACTTCGTTTTTACGGTTGCTATTTTGGCACTATCCGGACTTTTCGTCTTTCGATTTTCGCCTGAAAAAACAACAAACCCTCCGGAGAACGTTAGTGCAAGAAACTCTTGCATTAACGTTATCCGGAGGGTTTGTTGTTAAGAGTTTCTACCAGTATTCTACTATCGTACCGGTAGTATACCCGGTATCCATAACTTCGAATTGACATATTAACGTTAGTAGAAATAAAAACACCCTTGGAGATGCTCTAAGGTTCTGATAAGTTATGAATACTTGGAAATCTCAGATTCGAAATCTGAGGTGTAGTTAATCCTCCACGGACAAATACTACGTGGTAAACGTTCTTGCTTTCCGCTTGTCAAGAGGGGCAAAATAGGCCCAAACACTTAGAGGAAGAAAGGAAGGTAGCGACCGCGACAAGAACGCAGAACAGGGGAAAACAAAGAGTGAATCAGGATGAGTGGCATGGAGGCTATCCTGGCTAACTACGAGGAGGTGGGCCAGGCATCGAAGCGCCCGTATGAGGCATACCCTCTTCGCGCCACTTGACACCACGTTTCAAGCTGTTTGTTCAAGCTTACCGTTACTCGAAACTGTTCACCATTTGTACGTACATACTACAGGGAGTAGCATGGGAACAATCATACAGTGAACTGGGAAAAACTCGCAAGAATTGCAATATATATTGGCGTTTCTATTGACAGTGAGGCGACTTC